TGAAAGACACAACGCAGAGATCGCTGCTTTTCACCTTGACAGGTACAGTGTGTTGCACACAGCACAGTAGTAGCCACCAGGTCACTGGACCAACACTGGAGTTATTCTTTCATAAAGCCACTGTACAGCTTGTATTATAGGATAAGGAAGTGAAGTGTGAGTTTTAAAGAATAATACAGCACTAGTGCCCTTCATTCTTGCTGATGCCCTCTGTCTTTACTTCTGTTAATGTTTGTGTTTATCTCAGATTGTTGGGCTTTAACAGGATCCCTCCAGTGGTCGGACGACTTGTCAATGTCACCACAGAGATCAGAGAGATCACCACTGACCACAGGCTATCTAGGACCTTCTTCACTTCCCCTGGTATGTGTGTATATCAGTATGTATCCAAGCCTGCACCCATCTGCACTTTCACAAAGCAAGACCTATTGTTAGCTATTTTTACAATAGATTTTTTACATTTTGAGTCAAATTCTCTGATGTCAGTTTCTCAAATGTGAATATTTTTTGATTTCTTTAGTCCTTAATGACAGTAAACTGAATATATTATGGTTGTGGACAAAACAAGACATTTGAGGACATTTCCTCCGGCTTTGGGAAACAGTGATCAACATTTTTCACAATTTTCTGGACCACACAACTGATCGATTAATTGAGAAAAAGAAAAATGATAGATTAATCAATATTGACAATAATCGTAAGTTGCAGCCCTATCGACCGATAAACCAAAAGCTGTTGTCTCTCTGACTCCCTCTAGTGGGCAACGTGTGTTTCTATGGCCGGTGTGAGTACTACTGTTCCTCAGAGCACCCAGTGTGCGGTCAGCCGCATGCACTGGAGGTTTCCCTGGCTGTCATGCTACCTGACCTCACCCTTGCTCCCCGCAGGTCGTGGAGGTCACCATGGAGACGCTCCTACAGCCGCACAAAGCTAGCACAGTGGGTACACAGTGTGTCTCTTACTGATATTTTTTGTTGAAATGTAGCGTTAAAAGTTATGTCATCACTAATGTTTACAGTATTAATAATGAACAGTTTGAACAGAAAACAGCTCTGCAATGAATACCCTCTTTGTTTTATGGCTTTACTTTCTATATGTGTTTATGGTGGGTAATAAGTGTTTTAATGTTTCTACCTTGTTGCTGGTGGAGATTTCACAGTTGAGACAAGTGTATGTAGAATCACGAGTCTTCACTGCCCTCCAGTGGTCTGAATGAGGAACTGCAACACAACATTCAATTTGTGGCTAACACAAAAGCGTTAATGTCAGTGTAATCAATGTTAATGTCAATACATAGAGCTCATTATTAGTGTGATTGTTTATTCAGGCCAAATTCAGGCTGTTAGAAAACCATTTGTATACTTTTAAAAATGATGTGGACACATTTTTCCTTTGCAGTTTGATTTTCAGGCAAGTGTTTGTGCAGGAGCTCAGGTTAAAGTATCTGGAGGCCTCTGGATCACAACAGAGCAACAGAGAACTATAAGCTGTGCTGAGCTAAAAGAACATATTGAGTTGTGATAAAGCTGAAGACTACCAATGGATCAGCCTACAGTCTGCCTGTTTCCCTGCTCAGCCCAGTTGGACTCTTAGCTGCTAAATCTCAAAGTTATCAACAAAAGAAGAAAAGTTGGAAGAAAGTTACAAATATTGTATGTGTAATTTTTTTTTCTCTCTCCAACTGAGTTATACTGAATTGCACTGTTGATCCCAGGTGGGAGAAGGACCCGGCCTACTGTGACACAGTGAAACAGACACCTCCTTACATCCACGGCACCAGACTGGTGGATCTCATAGACATGGCTGTACTGGACTTCCTCATGAGTCAGTCTGAGCACTTTAAACTCAATCCAGTAGTCAATTGCTCTGAAACAAAAGGGGGGCTTACAGGCAGTGTAATAGGGGGTCACTGACCTCTATGTCCTCAGTTTAAGAGTGAAATGTAGTAAATAAGAGCTTTATCTCCCAAGTTAATGCACTCAGGATGTTATCAGGATTTTCCATCAATTTATGCCATTTTTCTTCTTTTCATTTCTACAAAAATGGCTCTCACATAGTCTAAAAAACACAATTGTTTTTCATTCAAAGGCAACATGGACAGACACCACTATGAGACGTTTGAGAAATTTGGCAACAAGACTTTTCTGCTGCATCTGGATAACGGACGGGCGTGAGTTCCGTGAACATCTGCTGACTCACTGCAGCTCAGGCAGTTGTAATAACTCATGACTGACAGCCTAATACTATATTTCTGACTCAGGTGTCAGTTAAGACCATTTTCACAGCAGCCATTGACATGAAATAGTAGGGTAAAGACAAGTGTTACCAGTGACAGTTATTAAGGTTGTGTCGCATTCAGGTCAGACAGAGTTGGGGTGCTGCTATTGTTGGCTCACTGGAAAGGCTCTGCTACACTAAATGGAACAAAGCCTTAATTAGTGACATTGGTAACGCCTGTGTTTACCCTACTATTTCCTGTTGCTGTGAAAAAAAGTCTATTGTGGTAACATTTTATGTGCGGGACTTTCTTGTGACTGTCCCATGTTTTTCCAGGTTTGGGCGTCACTCTCGGGATGAGCCATCTATTCTGGCTCCTTTGCAACAGTGCTGCAGGTAAAACAAACAAACAAACAAAAAGTCTGTTCACTGAGTGACTTGAACACTTAAATATGAACGGTGGGTGAAATAAACTGTAAGAAACTAGTTGTACAAAAACACTGAGTTCAGTAATAAGTGTTGTGCATACATATTAAAGGACCCAGAGAAGATAAGGAAACCTGCGTTTCGGTCTCTTTTGATTTCAGGATCCGTCGCTCCACCCTCCTCCGCTTGCGACTCTTGTCCCTCCCTGGCTTCCGCCTGAGTGATGTCATGCGGGAGTCTCTGGTCCAGGATCCTTTGGCAGGCGTGGCCCCCCTTCTCTCTGAGCCACACCTCTCTGCTTTGGACCGACGTCTTGCCACCACCCTCCAGGTAGTGCAGAGCTGTCAGCATCACCACAAAGATGTCATTTACAATGACGTGGAAGGAGATAATGTAGACTACGATCAACAGCCTGACTGAGGCTACGAACAATAAATTATATATTTGTCTCATACATCTGTGTCGGAATGATTTTGTCACACAGTCAGCACAAAGTATTTTATGATAGTGAAGCTGGTTAAGAGGGGGCAAAGGTTTGACAAATTTACACATCTGCCTGCAATATTCAAATATTCAGAATTCAGATAGCACAGTGAATTGTGCTATTTCATTCTTGTCCCATTAATCATCTGGAGACCCCTCTGGTTTTCACTGGTAGAAGAAATACTCTCTCACAAGTAAAAGTCATGAATTTAAAAATTCACTTCAGAAGCTGGTCATAAGGTGGGGGCTAATTTACTTCTATCTAATACTCACTGCTGGGTAGATTGTGAATTTATTTGAAGAGGCAGAAAATGAAATGGAAATATTCCAGTAAAGTAAAAGTACCTGAAAATGATACTTAAAGCTGCTAGTTCACTTTTATAAAAATGTTGGATAAAGCGTCGGTATTAGGACCTGGGGATGATCAACTCTTTCTCAGCTCTGATTGGTTGATTTTTATAATTTTTTAATTTTTTGTAGGTAACAGGATACACAAAAAAACAGACACACAACAGAAAAAAAAAACAGAATAGAAACAAAAGGTAAAAAAAACCAAACACACAGGGCATATTTAAAAAGAATAATTAAGTACACTGCTGCATCACTAGCATTAGCATCTTGGCACAAATTCTAAACAATGAGAGGTGGATGGCACTCTATGAACTTCCATGCTGGTCAGGGTCACTGTCATATTTAGCAAGGTGAGCCAGAAATGGCTGCCATATATCCAAAAATGTATTAAGATGTCTATCATGCCGTATCGAACTTTCTCTATATGTAAAATACCAGTGAGCTTACTCAGCCAAGTCTTAAACTGTGGCACAGTATCTGACTTCTTAAAATCACTTTCTTTGCAATTACTATTCCATACATCATTGTGCTCTGTACCGAAACATTGTGTTTAAGTAGCGAAGGAGAAATCCCAAATAATGCAATCTCCGGGACAGGTTCAAACACACAATCGCACATGTCAGAAAACCACTTAAATATGTCACACTAAATATTATACAGTTTCTGACACCTCTACAGATTTACATCGGTCACATAGAGAGGAAATGGCAGGAAAGATTCTGTGCAGTTTGGTTTTTGAATAATGAAGCCTGTGCATCACCTTAAATTGGATTAACCTGTGCCTGGCATTAATAGAACAAGATCGGGTCCTACTAAGGCCCTCCTCCCAAACATCATCCCCAATCTACAGTCCCAGCTCCTCCTCCCAGGATTTTTTGGCATAAACCACTTGTTCAATATATTTACAAAGCCTGAGACCAATTTTTTGGATTCAGGCGGACCCAACAAAATCATTTTACCTTCCGGGAGAGACTCAAAGTTAGGCATACATTGACGGACATAATTCCTAATCTGCAAATATCGGGGGAAAAAAAGAGAAGAGAAAACTTTTTGTTGAGTAAATGTAGCAAACTGTTTGTTAATATAGTACACATCTTTCAAAGTAACTAAACCTTTTAACCTCCAAACGTTGAAGGACCCATCCGAAAGGGATGGGGAGAATGCATGACTGATTGTTTGACACACACACACACACACACACACACACACACACACACACACACACACACACACACAGATTAAAGTGAGTTCACAACTGTACAGTAGTGGTTTGGTAGCCGCCAGTTTGTTAATAGAATGACCAAAACACACTGGAAAAAATGCTTCTACAGTTTGATATTTTGATTAAAATTCAAACTGAATTCATATTAACCAACTGATCATTTTACACCTCTAAACACCTCAGATGCAAAGACCCAAAGCACTCAGGCCCTCTGCAGTGGAGGGCGACCCCTGCTGCCGCTGAGCAGAACTGCGACTCAATAGGAAGACACAAAGTTTCACTTTCCAAACGTCACCGAAAGGCGGAACTGCGAAACAATCTGTGGGCTGATCCCCGGGAGAAGCTTCGGTCGGATATGTAAAATCTTTTGTCTGTCTTTAAATCTGATTCCTGCTTTGAGTCAGTAGCAAGTATCGCTTTATAATTAACATTACAGATCCTAGTGCATGTAGCCCATGGGTGCTCATGTGTAGCCTCACTGTGTCCACACTCCAGATGCAGATACAGTGCTGACCAGGACAGTTTATACTAAGGATTTTCTTAATGGTGCAACAGCGGAGGGAGCCTCTCTAAAGCCCTGTATTTTGGTGCCAGAGGTGTATTAAAACATCTGGAGAGCATCTGGAGCACCGCGCCCTGCTGTTTTCTGCAGAGAAAGTGGTCCGAAGTGGACGCGCTGACCCTCGATGGACCCGCTGGATTTCCTGGAGTCCGACGAGCTCCTGACCTTCTTCCACTGCCATAAAACTGAAATGTCCTGCATGGAGAAACCGCACACCTTCCTCAACCAGCTCAGGGACCACAACCTGATCCCTGAGGACAGATACAAGGTAACGCACTGAAGTGGAAACGTGACGCATTTGTTATTACCCTCCACACACACACGCACACACACACAGACACACACACACACACACACTTCCTCATAAGGGCCTTATTTGAATGAAGCGCGCGCTGCGGGAGGCGAGCGGGAACTGCGTGAATGGACATCCTGAGAGAGTCCTTATGGATCTGTCTGTCTGCAACATAATAGGAGTCAGGGAAAAACTAAGTGAAGAGGTTATAATGCTGTATTGTTCAAACATAAAGTAGTCATTGTAAGACTCGAACTGAGTAGGGGGGCCCCAGGACCAGGCCCCGACCTAGACAACATGGGTTCCATTTGGGGGGGCCTCCCTATAATGTCTGGAGCAGAAAACTATTAAATCAATCTATAAACTCTATAGTTTAATGATAGGTGGAAGGTAACAAAGTACAACTATTGTGTTACAGTAGCTGTTTGAGGTAGCTCTACTTTATTTTTGGGACAACTTTTTTGCTCAAATATCTGTACTTTATTTTTGATGCATTTGGCGAATTATTTGTTATTATTATTAAATACAACTCTTGACAACGGGCACGGTGGCACACAAACAATACAACCCAGCCAACACTCAACAGTTTACAGTTCTAAGTAATCTGAAAAACATTAGATCATTCTTAAGGGGCCCGACTGATTTTCCTAGTTGACTAGTAGTCATTAACTAGTCATAGCACATTTATGATATTGATTTAATTATTTAGATATATATAAGTTAACAGTGACCTCATATTTTGTTTTCTTTTGGTTTGCCTGATTTTTAGTGATGATTTCCAGTTTGTGGTCACCGAGCCTGTACTTGGTTAGGATCTGTCTCTGCTTTCTATCTCTGCCAGCAGAGAGATATCCTGCTAATTCATCTCTTTTTATGGCCAGATAACATTGTAATGTACTTTGGCTTTTAGGTTTTTCTTTCCAATGTTCAGTATTAGTTTCTTTATATTGTCTTATCATTTGGTTTGTGTGTATGGGGGGGATCTTTTCTGGGCTCTTGAGTTTGGAGAGCTTTGGAATGGAGGGTGTCTAGGCAGCTGGATTTAAGGTGATTAAAAAGTTTGAATGCTCTGTTTTGAATGTTAATTATCACTGGGTATCTACCTAATTCTGCTCTAGATGGATTTATTGGTGTTCTTCTGTGTACGTGTAAAAATGCATCTGCAGTATTCTGCATGTAAAGATTCAGTTCAATGTTTGTCCCAATGGATATGGCTCTGGAGACAACACTTCACTACCATACAGTGCAATGGGCTGGATAACACTGTCAAATATTTTAAATAATTTTAATGCAAAATTGTTATATATATACATATATATATATATATATATATATATATATATATATATATATATATATATATAAATTAATTAATTGCATTTAGAGCTTTTCAAGCTTTTTCTTGTAGTGCATTCCCTGCTATGTTGAAACTGAACTCATGCTACGTTCAGTGTTTGTATTATAGAATCTCTATGTGGTTATACTGTACAGTGTAAATCAAGATCAAGTTAGCCAGCATGAGAAAATAAATATGTACGGATGTACTGAAAAAGATACACGTTTACATATACATTCTGATTCTGATTCTAATTCTGATTTACATACATTTATTTACATATATCATTATTGAGCAAACAGTGAATATTGGTATAGATGTCTTTATTATATTGTCTCCATACTTTTGTGTGTGTGCAGAAGATGTATCGCATGAAGAGTAAAGACAACCTGAAGATTGCTACTTATGAAGTTCTGGACTGGTTGGAGAGAGAGCGATCAGACTACATCAAAGATTTCTGGAGGTGTGTCTTCAAGGAGACCATCATGAACCTTTACCCCACCCTGCGACTGCTGCGCAACAGCCTCATGGACGGTCAGACTCTACAATTTATGGTCATCAGGGTGTTAAAGATTGTGACCCTGCTTTCTATGTTTCTATTGTCTTTGCTTGTGATTTATGTTTTATGTACATGGTACCTGAAACATGTATATATACATACTCATAAAACCCTGTTTGTAAGGTACGTAGGCGCGTATTCTCTGTTGTTTATCACATACTAATAGCAGTTTGTTCTTAATATTAGCTGGCTTTTTAAACTTTAGATGTTTTTTAAATTAGTGAAATAGAATGTTGTCTCACATGCTTCACTACTGTAAGCCATCCCATCATAGTAGGGCTGGGCTGTATGGCCTAAAAAAATGATCACACCACACCTGACTTTTATACTGTATTTTATTTTTAAAAATGTACTTCCTAAAAACAAAACTACAAAAGACACATTATCTGTGGTGTTGTGAAACATCTGTAATGTCGTATCACTTCTTCTAATATGCGATACTATGGGAAGATGCCCACCTCTCCATCATAGTATGTAGACCACTCACTTCTTTTTTATACCTTGATAACACCTCAAGGGTCCAGTGTGTAGGATTTAGGGTCATTTAGCGGTGTAGTTGCCATTCCCTCGCTTCACCGTCGCCTTCGATGTGTGAAGGACACAAACGGCCCTATCTAGAGCCAGTGTTTGGTTTGTCCCTTCAGTGTTACTGTAGAAACATGGCGATTCCATAGAAGGTGACCTAGAGCGTCTGTAGATATAAACCACTCATTAGGAGACTATACGCCAATGAAAACATAACCATGAATATTATATTCAGTTTCTGAGGATCAATAAATCCTCCTGAATGTTCCACACTGGACCTTTAAGAGCTTAAGTGTGATCTGCAGGCTCATATCTCTGGGCTGCATTGCTCCACAGTGCACAGCAATAATGAATGTAACTGTAGATTAGATTATGAGATATCACTTTAAGAATATTTTTAGTTTGAAACTTTGCAATTCATCCAACTATTCCTGCCATTTTTATCCCTCTGTCTTACTTAAACATTGACGTTGGCTGAGTGGACACAGCGGACAACAAAGGTTAGGAAGCACTAGATTAGAAAATAGGATTTGTTCTCTCATCATTCTTTCCCTGTCGTTTCTTCATTCTTTTTACTTCATATTTTTGTATCCATGGACATTAATGCAGATGCAATTCATGCAATTGCAGGGTCTTTCCATTTTGACACAAAACTTCCAGAGAAGGTGGAGAAAGAAGGGAAAGGGAAGGAGCTTTCAGAGGATGAGGAGGGAGAGGAGAAGAGAGTGAACTCAGTGAAAAAGAAGAGGAAGCTGAGAAGTACGTGCGATGATGAGGAGGAGCAAGCTGGTCCATCATCTCAGTCAACTCCAAGTCAGAAGAAAAAGTCCAAGAAAATATCCTTCTGTAAGTCACTTCCCACTGATGCTTTACCCTTGTAAACATGACTGTATTTCAAGTTTTACTGTTAAAAAGTGTAGATTGTTATTAGTTTAAATATCAGGGTGATCTTTATACAGTACATTTACTTACGTTCAGTTAGAAGAAGTTAAATTAGCAGAATGTCTGAATCAGAACAAAAAAGACAGTTTCTCATTTAGAATAAAGAAGTCTGAATAGTTTTTATTTTATTTTCCAGCTTCTCCCCTGAAGAAGGGAGAGAAGAACGACATTTGGACCTGGGAAATCTATAAGTCCCAGCTGCCTGTGACCTGTGGAGACCAGCAAGGGACACTGGTCAGAGGCAGATTGGCTAAAGGTCAGTAAATCTTAATGACTGAAAACACTGAATCTCAGAATCTTAAATGTAGAATTCTTAATATAAAAATGACCACCTCTGACAGTGACATATTTTGGCCATCACAGCAGATGATTTATGGTTGACATTTACACATTCCCAATTCTCTGATTGTTTCAGGGGAGAAGTGCATTTTAGTCAACAAACAGTGGCTTACTCCCAGTGAATTTGAGAGATTTGCAGGGAAGGGGAGCTTCAAGAATTGGAAACTGAGCATTCGCTGTATGGACACCCCCTTGGCAAAACTTATACAGGTTGTGTATTCTGTAACATACACGTTGCAAGACTGCTTGTTTTTCTCTAACCATGTTAGTTTGCCTCGTTAGAACACTTCACACACATTTCTGATAGATAAATACTTGACAGCAGCAGAACATGAACGAACCGCATGCAACAAATAATAGTGCAAAAAACTAATATCATAAACCAAGTGCTAACATAAAGGTAAAAAAGTGTGTCCTTAAAACATGTGCCTGCATACAGTGTAAGAATGTAATTGGTAAGCAGCCTCTCAGTCCACTAATGTCCACACTGCAACGCAGGCGGGATGAGTTAGATGGCCAACGGCAGGAAATGATGAAAAATTATTGTTGTGAAAATTTCTTTTATTTTCTGCTTTTTCAATTTCACTGCAGGATGGTCACCTCAAATCAGTGAAGTACAAAGGAGGGTGTAAAAAGGTAAGACCAAAAACTGGTGAAAATACATGAATACCGTATTTTCCGGACTATAAGTCGCACTTTTTTTCATAGTTTAGCTGGTCCTGCGACTTATAGTCGGGTGCGACTTGTATATGAAATTTAACATGTTTTTGAATAATAATTCATGAAACAAGGAGTAGCCTGAACATTACTGTCCACAGCCGCAAGAAGGCGCTCTAGGCTTGTGACAACCAGAGCCGTTATATATACAACTATGTTCAGAAGCGACACGGAGGACGAAGAATTTAATGAATGGTGAACTTGCTGCTGGTAACTTGCCTGTTGGACTCGGTGGCATGTTATGTTAATTACTGTGTGCTATTGTGTTTAACTTGCATTTCCTGATTGAATGTCTGTTCTTGGTCTTGGATGCTGTAAAATAAATTTCTTCCTCCCGAGTATTTGCTCTGCTCCCAGCGTTTGCCTAGACATCGCCCAAAATGCTTGATTGCATTGCATTCTCCACATTTTTAGCAAAATTTTCATGTACCACATCAGCATTTTTGTTCAGTGAATCTTTTGTAAATTGGCCGCCTTCTTATCGCCCAGCTCACTTCATTTCACTCCTTCGTCTTCATTAACATTCCCGGTAGAATTCTCAATCTTTTTGGCCTCTATGTGTCCAGTTACATCTCTGTCTGTTCTTGGTCATGGAGTTTGTGAAATACATTTCTAAATAAATGCGACTTATAGTCCGGTGCGACTTATATATGTTTTTTTCCTCTTCATGAGGCATTTTTTGACTGATGCGAGTTATACTCTGGAGCGACTTATAGTCCAGAAAATATGGTAAATAAATTCTGACTTTATAGTGTATCGTCTTGTTTTTAGTGATTCTAATCTGAACCATGTCCCCCTATTTTCCTCCTGCTAGGCCAAGAAATCACTGTTCCCATCTTCAATCACAGGTTTGTCACTTAATTATTAATTAATTAATAATTGCTGATTTAAGAAAAGTTCAGGAGTATTAGTTTTATATTTTTGATAGCTTACGAGAGAGCACTGCATCCCCACAAGCTATTACAAGAACATCTGTTACCTCATCTATCTATCTATCTATCTATCTATCTATCTATCTATCTATCTAATTTATTTTCATCTATGTTGGCATCTATACAATTTACAGTTTTAAATCTATATATTTGAGAAAAAACAGCTTCTTAGTTGCTAATATAAGAAGAATTATTGATATATATACTACTCGCCTCCTTCTTTTTCCAGTGTCTGAGGGAGAAGAAGATGAAAATGAGTGTGCCTCAGACAGTGAAGACCAGGTTTCATCAAACAGCAAAGACGGTTCCACAGATGTCACAGGTGCTGGTTTCTACAAAGTGATATTCAGGGTTGACATACATTTTTGGCAACAATAGCAAATCACTTTACATGCATGTCCCACTATCATGGCAATAGTAGTTTACATGTGTCCTTTACAGATGAAGAAGGAGAGATGGAGGAAGAGACGGAGCAGCAGCCAGAGGCCAACTCTGACAGTAGAAAGAAGGTGTTCAAAGTTACATGTAGAGCTTTAAGCGGGACCCTTCACAAAAGACGATTTGCATCAGGTAACTCTATTTTTCTACACACAAAAAGGGTAAATATGTGTATCTGTACATCCTGTTTAATGTCCGACCTGTTACTCTGGTGAACAGTCAGATGAAGCTAAACCAACCCCACAAAACCTGTCTCCTCTGAACTTACTTTCACCACCAGGGACTTGTGGGAAGAGTATTCGTACTGAGACCAGCTGGTTGACCCCAGTGGAGTTCATGAATGAGGCGTCCTGTCAAACAGATGCCTCCTGGAGGAAAGACATCACGTGGGAAGGGAAACCACTTAGTGTCCTCACAGAGGTAACCATGGTCAGGCTGGTGTTATTACGTGTGTGTGTGTGTGTGTTGTCATTACAGTCCACTGATGCCATCTTGAATTATTAACTGTGCATCTTTGCGTGTAAGATTTCAGCTCTGGTGGATTTGTCAACACCCGTGGTTACCGCAGTAACAGCAAGGCCTTACCACTACAGCAGACATTTGTTGAGCAGCTGCTTTGTCAGAAATATAACAAAAGAGCAACAGACTGGTCAATCTGTTTATAGTGCAGCCAGTTCTCCACAGAGCAGCAGGACACAGTAAAGTAGGTTAGCTTGCTGAGTAGATGGACGTGTGCAGCCTGCCGTCTGAAACTCATCTGAGAATGCCAAAGGTGACAGTTGTCTTGTAGACACATTTTTGATGAGTGATCACAGTCAGTGCTGTCTGCGGGAGCAGCTTAATACAGCTCTGGTAGAGTGTAAAGAGAGCGAACAGTAAGCAGTGAGGCTGTTGTCAATGAGATAAAATTGCACTGGATTACAGGTTTACAGAATCTGACATGCCACTAACAAAAGAAAAAGATGACAATAGAGAGATAATTACGGAATGTAAATAAGATGCAGAGCATAAATAGGATTACGAATGAAATATTTAATGATTATAATTTTAATGTGACTTTCCAAGTCCATTCTCAAGTCATAGGACAATGTGCACTAAAGCTGGACTTTGCTCTAAAGAAGTTACAGTTTCAAAACCCCACTTTCAAGATAAAACTTCACCTATATATACATCCAACATCACCTCGAGAAACCATATATGTGCAGAAAGAATGTAATTGTTGGAAGTAACTAGATGAAGCTGAAAGACAGTAGAACAGAGAAACCTTCAGTTCAGCTGATGACAGTCCACCTTGGACTAAAACCAGCCTAAACTGGTTGACAATCCTGTTACAAGAAACATTTCATTTACAGAGAGGAGAAACACTAGCATCTGATTTAGAAAAATGCCATTGATGATGCAGTTAATGCTGTCTATTACAGGCCAAAATCTTAAAGATCCACTCACTGCTGTGTTCCTGTAGACTGTGCAAACCAGACAGTACAGAGCAGGTAAGTTTGTTGATCAGCAGCATTTCCTAATTCAACATTCACCTTTGCTCTGCGTAAAACAATGGCAGCATAACACCTGTGTGTCTCCCACTGAGCTGCAGTACAAGTCTGAACGTATCTGTCATGGCAGGACAATCAGAAAAACGACGATGAGTGTTGCATCTGTAAAAGGGAAGAAGACGAAGAAGAAGAAGAAGGAGAGTTGGTGGTGTGTGATCATTGCCCTCGCTCCTTCCACCAGAAATGTCACCTTCCTCATGTAGAAGACGCCATTTTAGGGTGAGTTTTTATCAAAACAGGAGACAACAGAGACCAAGACTCAAAAAAATTGTTGATTATGTGATATCAGTTGTGTGTTTGTCATGTGTTCTACGCTTCTGAGAGACTGATATCACTCTTCAACACTTTTAAAACCCCCCCACTCAAGGATATGTTTTTCTTCTTGTTCCTACCCGGGACGTCAGGATATATATAATTTATTGTGTGTGTGTGTGTGTGTGTGTGTGTGTGTGTGTGTGTGGAACAGGGACGATAGTATATGGATGTGTACGTTCTGCGTATTCAAAAGCAATCAAGGGTGCTATTACTTCAACGAGCTGACAATGGAAGCAGCCACGTCCCTCCAAATATCACAACGCATGCTGGTGAGCACACTCTGTGTCTCTCTTTCTGTCTCTCTGTCTTTAGGTCTTTACATCGTAATGCCTGTCTTTCTGTCACACTGCCATCACCATTCGTCTCTTCTTTCTTACATCAACAGCAATGTCAGTATCTCCTCCTGCATTTGTGCAACGTTGATGAGGAACAAACATTCACTACAAACCCAACCCTCTATGTAAGTCTTTCTCTTTGCGGTTCCCAGGCATATTAAAGTGCACTGAATAAGCTGGTAGCTGGAGGGATTATCTTCAGGTCTTTATTCACAGTAGTGTGAAATTAAATTGTTGCTTGTTGAGTATTTCATTCATTCCTGCTTTGCACCCACAGTTAGCAGACTACTCCAAGGTGATCAAGACTCCGATGTGGCTGGGCAAAGTAGCAGACAAACTCCAGAAGAAGCTCTACCAGACAGTCGGACAGTTTGTGTCCGACATCCAGCTCATTTTCACCAACTGTGCTTCTTACAACCGAGTAAGAAACATCATCATTTTCACATGTAGTACTAAAAGATTAAAGTTAAGTTATCAGAGATGAAGATGATTTTTTTAGGAAAGTCACAAGGACTGTTGTGTTCTTTTGCAGGACAATGCTGAGTTCTTTGCGATGGGCAACAGATTGAAGGAGTTATTTGATGAAGAATTTAAAAAAGTATTCAACGTCCGCGAGTAGACTGCTCACTGACACAAACTGTTTCATTTTCAAACTCAGTGGCCACTGGGAAAAGGTTAAACATTGGGAATTACAGCTTTGTGGTAAATCTTTTTTTTTTTGTATCTGGTTCAAATATCCCAAAAGACATAATTGGTCATGAAGAGAGTGCACTTGAAGTAAGTGAAACAAATATCCAGTTCCTGTAAATCACATGTGAAGGTTTTAGGGTCTTCAACACAAATGGTCCTTTGATCTGACCCTGTGACTGTGACCAGATTCTTACCAGACATCCTCCATCCACCATATCACCATAAAATCACAAACCCCCATAAACAAACTATACATTGACTACCCCATCTAAAACATTCATCTACCACAGATGCACTCAATAAAATGGGAAATTAATTATTAAATTTTTTTTATAACTTAAAGGGTAATTTATACTATTGTATAAAGTTATGTCTGTTAAACACTGTAGGTCATGGGGCATATGTTCCTATTATATATGTGTCTGTTGGGGTTGAAGACTACAAGTTTGGAACTTTAAAAGATCTGGGAGTGTTGGACTTGTTTTTTAACAGCTACTCTAAATAAAAGTAAATAGCCATTGAGATATTGAAGGCTTTTTAAATCGCTACCCTTGAGTGCCTCAGATTCCCTCAACAGTTCTGAACTAGTAGGACCCCCTAACTCAAGAGCACCAGAGGAACACCGTATTATTTTTTTTTTACACCCAAGCAGCACTCCATGCAGGTTAATTTCCTATGTCTCTCCCAACATTACTTTCATTGCCATATGTGTTGACGTTTCTGATGCTTCAGAATGTCTGTATTACGAATGTACCGTATGTATTGTAACATAATGTATTTGTCGAAAGTGTTTGAACGATTTACAGCATTTCCACAACACTACACAGTTTTTTAAAAAAGCAATTTCCCTGTGCTCTCTCTTTCTGTCTGATCTCTTGTTTGTGGATGTCTTTATTAAAATAAAATATGTGTCTGTGCACATGTTAATGACATAACCTTGGCTTATTTTGACAAACTTGCCCTTAAAGGTTAAATCTATATTACAGATTTAATTTAACACAGCAGGAAAACTAACTGAATCTACAGAACTGACAGATTGGACCCTCTGTTGGCTGGAGATCACCGTGTTTTTATGCATGGGCTGTATTTGCGGTCAGCTGACGTCAGTGCCACAGTTGCCAGCAGCAAATCTGTGCTGAGAGCTGCGCAGCCGCCCTGCGCATCCGTCGGCTGAGGTGGACAGCGCAGCCATTTCTCTGCCCCTCATGAAAAACATACAGAGGGGGGGAGTGCGCAACTGACCCGGCGTGCGGGAGGGAGTCATGACTTCGGCAGCCGCGTAACGAGCCTGAACTCCGCATCACCGACTGAGATCCTCGAAGCTCCAAACTTTCTCCCAATTCAACGCCTGCGCATACAAAACAGGCTCCCCCCCCCTCTTCCCTCTTCTCTCTCTCTCTCTCTCTCTCTCTCTCTCTCTCTCTCTCAATCCCACTCTCTCCTCCATTTGGCTTATGCGCCGGTGTCTGTGCCAGCCATGGAGGGGAATCTGCAAGGAGGCAGCGGCGACGTCGCAACAATGCACGTGAAGACCGAGGCGGTCGACGAGAGCACATCTGCGCTGCTGTTGGGCAGCCAGGAGTCGCCTGCGCCCTGCGGAGATACCGCATGCAAGGGGGGAGGAGGAGGAGGAGGAGGAGGGGGGGATCAGACTGCAGAGGAGCTGGCTGACGCTGAGCTCCAAGCAGCCACGACAAGTACTCCCGTGCTGCTGTGTGAGTGCATTTCACGTGACTTATTAAATGATGAATTTCATGTTTGGATCATAAGTTGCCAGTATGAATCTGTACTCTTTTATCTTGTCTCAACATTTAGATCCTGTGAGCACAGACCGCTACTTCACCACGTCGGGCGATGGAAAAACTTACCTGAAGATAGCTCCAGGTGAGTGCCTCAGTGGAAGAGGATCACAAGAGTGTGAGCTCCTCTGTCATCAGAATGAGATAAAACACATAGGCTTCCCCAGGCAGCATGCACCAGAGATTTAGGTCTTACAACATATACACATCAAATTCTGTAGCAGTGAAGAAAATTACTAAATTAAATCTCAAGCTCTTAAATTATGCTTTCTCAGCCTTTTCTGGCTGGTGCAGGGAGCTCAGAATACACTTTATATAGAAATAATGATATACTGTATTTCCAGCCTGTTTCATGTTCATATAAATATACAGAGAATGTATAGAAAAACTATCTCTGCACACCTGAATGTGCATTGCCAGTCAGTACCATCATCATCAGGTACATGGGGAGCCCATATACCTGATGAAGGTCATACAGGGGGAAACGTCGTTAATGTAAATAATAAAATAGTATTTTTTCAGCGGTTAGTGAGTGTGGGAGTTCCTCGTTGTTTAAAACCCCTGAATACTTGGGTTCAAATCTTCAATAATATGAAATATTCATGACTAAACAAGCAACATCAGTAACATCTATATTAAACATCATCGTTACATACACATCTACATATGGAGCGATCCCTTTTTTTTTCTCTCACCTGTGTCCCCAGCTTCAGCGATGCCACCTGCTCCTTCAGAGAAGACGCTTCCCTCCGGCTCCGATTTCTCCTCCAAAGCTGTTTTGTGTCTGATTGAGGCCGTCGGACGCCGCTGGGGCCTGTACGAGACTCGGGAGCGCTCACAGCTCTTCCAGAGCGTCCAGGAGGAGATGGCTTCCAGGGGGCACGTGCTACCTGTTGAAAAGATCCGCCGCAAGTGGAACAACCTCATTGTCACGTACAAGAGGGTGAAGGACCGCAGCCGGGAGACGGGACACGCTAAAACGTCCTGGGAGTTCTTTGATGTAAGTCTGATAGCAGGAAAATAAGTGCTTCCTTTCTGGAGTCTATTTCCCTCAAGTTTGGATCAAACATGAAAATATCTTCAAATAAAACATCAGATACTTTTCATAGTTTATAATTAATTATGGGGCTAATTTGGACTGCAACTGGCTTGGGAATTGGAACTGGATCAGGTCTGAGTTCTGACCCAGAAACCAAACACCAAACCACTTTTACCCATACTGACTGCTGTGCAAGCAGATGTTTTGGAAAGTTATAATTAGTCAGAATAAACCTCCCACTGGCAGACTATTAGCTTCTGCGTCTTCCTGCTCCCCTTTCAGATCTCTATTCCCGTTGTCAGAGAATAATCGAAATGAACATACATAAATAAATACATACAGGCTGACACACTTGTTTACGTGTTTACAGCTCGAGAAACCTGTGAAACCTGTGTGACAAATGTGTCTCTGAGCTTTACCAGACATATTTCACCTGAAAGACATGCGTAATTGACTGTTTGATGAACCCTATCCAATCAGCAAGCTTTGGTGTTCTCCACATGTTGAAGCAGCGTGCACAGTGCTGTAATAAGAGCGATAGAGCGCCTAAGGACTTCAAAAGATTGTGTATATTTTTGCCTTTTCAGAATCAAATTAAAAACAAGAGCAAAAGTGGCACATTGCTAACTGCGTATGGAAAGCTCATTGACATGCTGCAGCAACAGTATCCGGGTTATTTCATTTCCTTTCTCTCTGTCTGTCTCTTCTCTCTCTAGTTGATGGATGCCACCCTCTGTGACACTGTTGGCACTCAGATCATCAACAACAAAAGAAACAAAGGTGGAAACAGCGTGTCCATGCTGTCTGGTTCCTTGGCAAAGATCGCTGCAAAACCACAGGTTCTGCAGCCCCCCACCATCATCCGCCCCAATGGGGACTTTGCTTCGACTGGCGGCGTGGAGTCCACGGGCCAGGGAGCCATCAGCAGTCAAATCATCAGTAGCACTGCTGCCATTGCCTCAATGACTACAGCGACTGTTAGCCCGACAAATGCTCCAGAGCTCAAGCCCCTGATTGTCCTCAACAGTGACATTGTTACAACCAGTATTCATCCAGCCACCATTGTGCCATCCCCCTCTTTTATCTCCTCCCCTTGTTTCACAGACACAGCTTCTACTTCCCCCTCCCTCGGCTCGGCGAGTAACACAGACCTCAACACATCACGCTACGTAGGCCGCAAAGCTCCGCCGTTCTCATCCGGCGTCATACCCTTTCGCCTTAGCAATGCGCCTCTTTGCAACAGTCAGAATCTCCTTGGCCTCTCCTCCTCCTTCCCCCCTTCTTCCTCCTGTCTCACCTCTTCCGTTTCCACCTCGTTATCGGCGACAACCATGTCAGGAGCTGAGGGACAGAGCCGGAAAGGAAGCGAGGAGCGAACCAGCTCCCCTTTGTTCCAGGAGATTCTGAAGCGGCAGGAGGAGCAGGCCTACCTGGATCGGGTGGCTCGCCGCAGGGTGGAAGCCAGAGAGAAGAGGCGTGAGAGGAGGGAGGTACGGATGGTGGAGTCCCTCGGCAGGATAGCCACAGCCCTGGAGCTGCTGTCCTCCAAACAGGACACAGTCATAGCTCTCCTGCAGAGACTGGCTGATAGGAAGTGATGGAGGGTGAAAGGCTGGAAAGCAGAAAAGGCTCTATAACCTTTTTCCCATCCTGAGATTAATGCTTATGAATCTTAATACTTTTGCCATGTAAGTGCTCTCCTGAACTAAATGTAAATAAACATTTATAAAATCATATGAGCTGCTCACTTGTGAAATGGGGTGTTATTGTTACAGTTTGCTGGACCAACATCATGTAAAAACATTCTCCTTTAACCTTCAGTTAATTAGATTTAGCCTCTAGTAGTTTCAAGTAAAATGAATAAAACTTCTTATGACATCTCCTTAATTCTCTATTATGAAAATATTTTTAAATTATTTCACTGTTGCTTGAGGCATCACATTGATTGTTTAAGAACCTCTAGTACCATATTTACGAAACATTTAGTATTAAAAAGACCCAAACATTGGAAGATACCCACTCCGACTTCTGAAGCCTCATATTAGGTTCAGCTGAACTCGATATTGCATGATTTTGTCCCCCATCACTTTATAACATCACATTATAATGGCATCAGGAAGTATCTCTGCAGCAGGGGCACATCTAGACCTCAGCTGCCACCCCGGTTTAGTGTGAAATACTATCAAATTTAACACATAATAATAGATTAATTGGAAAAAGAATGTTAAAAAAAAAACAACATGCAATTTAAAACAGTATTGCCACATTAACTAAGTTCAATGAAAAGACAAAAAATGTCTGGAGGCTTGGAAATTTGGAAACAATTTATTGACTTCTAATTAGATCTGTCTATTCAATGTGCCACAATAATGTAATGTATTAGAGTTAAAGGGTCTTCTTTTGGGGGCTTTTCCATGCAAATACTGATATATGTGATTGATTGTCATGACAACAATGACAGCTGTGATGTGAGTACTGTTTTAAGCTAGCCTTGACAGAATGTGAACCTATCCTTCCTATCCAGTGGTCAGCTACAAAGTAGTGCACTCACATTAAACTTGAATAGTTTCCTTGCTGTTTTTCTGCTACATGTTAGTTTGTACTTTTATTCCAACAATACATTACAATTCCAACAATACAACAGAACATTTTCTGATCTATGAACCTTTAAAGTTATGAAACATCAAGCTGTTGAGCAAGTTTCCTGGCATCATTCCATTTCCTGTTCATGTTTTTAGTTTCTTTTTCTACGCAGCGGCAGTAAAGAAGCTGTGAGAGGAGTGGTCTGAACAAAGAATACAATTCTCTAAGACCAGTTACTTCACCAGTTTTTCCCAGCTTTAAAAACTGACATTGTACAGAGATGGTAGTTGGCGACTTGGACGATAAGACTGTGGCTGCATCTGTTCCTGCCATGATGCCTGTCAACATGCCTGGTGCAGAGCAAGAGGAACATGAGTATGCAGGTAAACTATTAATGTTTGAATGTTTTAGTTTTTAGTTAGTCTTTGTGTCCTTAGCTGCCCATGAAGACAAATGCCATAGGATTTAATAAACTGAACTTTATGTGACAACCCATCACTTTGTTACACGTCACTGGAATCTATAATCACGTGTGTCACTTTATTGGCACATGTTGTAACAGAAGAAGGGGAAAACCGAGGGTGGTTTACCTAAGGTGTTTTCTTTTTTCTTTTTTTGTGTTATCTTTCCAAGATTGAAGCCTTTAAGTATACTGAGGGAAAACTAAATAAAAGACATTACATAGAGCAATCAGGATACTTTATGTTATGTCACCTTGTGTCCTACTTTTGTTTTCGTTGCAGCAAACCAGTATTTGCTCTTGTTGGCACTACAATTCCACTGTATATATAAATAGCTAAGTAAATGATGTTAGTTCTAGGGGCCAACCAGTTGGTAAACATTGACCCTTATAAGTAGTAATAAGTAATAATGAATGTTTTCCTAATCTTGCACAAAATAAACATTGATGATTCAAGATATATAATGTAATTTTCACACGTTTTAAAAGAAAAAGTCCGGATTTTGATTTTGATCTTTTTCCAGATTTTAAAATATTTGGAACTCACTTGCCCCTCACCTCCCCATTGATTTAAGTAACCGGGTTGTTTGTATGGTCTACCATGCTCCTTAGTAAGCTGAGGAAGCACTGTGATCATTTACAGTCTGGCCCTTATTTATCTGAGAAATCAGTTTCTAAGTTTAAACTCTAGAAGTCATATCAATAGTACAAGATCCAAACAAATTAAATTACCAGTGTGTACGATTTAGTGCCATCAAGGATCTTTTCCTAGACAAACCGCACCACTGCATCACTGGCCAAGAAAGCCTAGTAGCGTCTTTACTTCCTCTGGAAGCTAAAGAGAGTAGAGCCCCGTCACCTATTGTGTTCTCCTTCCACGAGGCATCATAGAGAGCATTCTGCCCAGCTGCATCACTGTGTGGTTTGGGAGCTGCACTGCCTCTAACTGCAAGACCATGCTGCACATGGTGAAAGTGTCTGGGAAGATAACTGGTGCCTCACTCTTCTCCAACACTATCTTGCCTTCAAAGCCAACAGTATTGCAAGTGACTCCACCCATCTTCCACGATCACACAGCTTCTTTAGTCTCCTGCCATCTGGGAGAAAATACCAGAGCCTCCGAGCTTACTCCAGCAGACTGTGTAACAGCTTAATACATCAGGCTGTCAGCATGCTGAACTCTCTTCCTTCTGCCTACAAAAAGTCTGGACTATAACTTACACAGCCACACAGCACCAGCTATAAGAGCTCTTGTAGAGAACACTTCAAAAACTGCTTCTAATTACTCAATTACTGGATTGGATTTTACTGGCATACCTTTTCAGCTATATTGGAAAAATATTTGTTCTATTTGCACTCGTTATCATCACAGTTGTACAGTTATTTATCTTTGTTTGCTACTCCCCCCAAATCCCAAAATTTGAATAAATGTATCTGGGCTGATATGGAGTCAAAACCTTAAATGTAGACTGATGAATAAGCCAATATTAGCTGATTGGTACTATACTGGTTGATTGATGTGTATCTTGGCAGATAAGTAACAAGACATTGCAGTAAAGCAATGCCAGACTAGGTTTTAGGCCATTAAGAAACAGTGTCACTGTACACAGAACAGAACAAGGTGATTTTTACACTGTAAAATGTTCAGAGCAGTATGTATCTGGGTCGCACTTTGAAGAGAAAACCGACCGATACGTCATATTTTTACTTTTATAACCCCCAAATCTCGATCATCATATCAGTAAATGTGAGAAATGAGAACAATGGTTGTTCAGAGGTAAGCATTTAATAAAAAACCTGTTGTGTAGTAAAATGTTTCCTGTTTGTTGTATTCGCAGAGCCCTTGAGGATCATGCTGCTGGGAAAGAGCGGGGTAGGCAAGAGCTCGAGTGGGAACACCATCCTCGGGAAACACGTCTTTAAATCAGACATGAGGCTGGTGAGAGTCACCAGACACTGCGAGAAGATGACTGGGACAGTTAAAGACGTGCCCATTGATATGATTAAGAAGGTTAAGGACGTGCCCGTCGCTGTGATTGACACACCCGGCTTTTTTGAGACAGGAAGAGACAAGGGGGACATTGTGCGAGAGGTTCTGAAGTGCGTCAAACTCCAGGAGCCAGGACCTCATGCCTTTGTGGTTGTAGTCCCCGTAGGACGGATGACTCAGGAAGATCAAGAAACCAACGAGCTGATCGAAGCAAAGTTTGGCCCAAAAGTGTGGGACTACACCATTGTGCTGTTCACTCATGGAGACCGCTTGGATGAAAAAACAATAAACGATGTCATCACTGAGAGCGACGACAACCTCCGCAACTTCATACGCAAGTGTGGCGGCGGCTTCCATGTCTTCAACAATAAGAACCCGGAGGACCAGGAGCAGGTGGCCAGCTTCATAGCAAAGATCCAGACCATGGTGGCCCTGAACGGAGGGGATTACTACAACACAGACTTGTATCCCACAGAGGAGAAGAAAATTAGAGAGAGACAGCAGAGCATCCTGGCGGAGAAAGGTGAAGAGATCAGACGCAAGGAGAGAGAGCTGCAGGAGCGTTACCAGGGGGAAGAGCTGGAGGTGAAGAAGAGGGAGCTGTGGAGGAAAGAGGAGAACAACGCAAGACTGGTTGCAGAGAAGGACACCAAGATGTCTTTTTGGAATATTTTGCTATGCATACTGTTAATGGGAGTAATAGTGCTGGTAGGCTGTGCTCTTCAAGATAAATGGTATCAAGCGGTGGCATTAATTCCGATTTTGCTTTTGATTTACTTCAAGGTGTTTCCATCTACTTCAAGAAAAATACCATGGATTTCCAAGAAAACTCGATAGTCAGGTCTGTAATGGATGTTGAGTTCATGTAATTGATTTTATTCCCCCCAAAAATGTGCTAAAAAACCATCAGAATCAGAAATCATTTGTCAAAACATGTTTTTTGAAATGTATCAGTCCATAATTAGAAAACACAGCAATTTTAATTTTATTTTATATCTTTCTCGCTCTCTCACAATTATGACTTAACCCACTCTCATATAACACAACTACATTTCTAATAAGATATATAGTGTTTGAAGTGGTATTTAGTAATGTTTTATCAACAATCCTGTAAAGTCTAGTCTAGAAATTAAAACTTCAAAATAATCATTAACTGTACAGATTTCCTCAAGCACTTCTGTACAGTTATTTTGTCATGCACAAGTAATGCGACTGTAAATGTGATGTGAATGAAAGAAATATTGGTCATCATCTCTACATATGAGGCCCTCTGGAGCTCCCTGGTGGGGGTTTGACTGAAAGACATGCTGGAAATCCATTCATTCTGTGGGAGTGTCTCCCACTTAAACTTTCTGTTTCATTTCCTCGGAGAGGGCAGGATAGGTAAGACATAGTTCTGTGCTTTTCATTCTGGTGATTTCTGAACAAAAGTTGTTGGTTTCATGTAGTTTTGTGAAAAAGTTGTACACAGACATAATAAACACGATTGTGTAACGCTCTGAGTGTTTGCAGTGAATTACAATATAATAAGTGCCGAACGGGGCATCAGTCATGGCTGCCAAAAGTGTTATTAAATGTGTTGTTGCATACATTCATTGTTAAACCGGTGCACTGGTGCAGCATTCTGCAGCCTATAGCAGTTTTTTTCACTCTGCTTATGTGGCACCTGGGATCATTTGATTTGATCTGAAACTATTCATAATGCCCGCCTTGTGTCGTTATGAGTAATGTTTTAACCCACATCCTGCCGTTATAACTTTGGGGTGGGTAAGTATTTAACATTAACACAATAAAACAGGCTTTTGATCAGATTGTACTAAGTCTTATTATCTTCAGAAATCACTCAGATTCAGACAACACTGACTGAAGTGAGGTGAGGAGGGTTTATCTTGCACTTTCTTTGCGGGCGGTGAAAGCCACCATAAAGCCAGATGTTCCACCTCTGTCTCTGCGAGGAATCTATCTGCCTCCTGTTTCTGTGCAGGAAATGGGTGATCTTGCCCGACTTTCTACAGCATTACTGTTTACGGTTATTCGAAAGTGCCCGCCGAAAAGCCGATGTGTAAATGCATGGTTCATGAATAAAGACTTGTGGTATGTTTGATGTGAATCTAGTGCACAAAATAGCGCAGTGCCTCCCAGTGGCTGTCTGACCAAGGTCTATTATTTGTTTAAAAATGCCACAAGAATCTATCTACCTATCTCTATATGATACAATTCTGGTTGCACTGCAATTGAAAACAGAAAAATCCAAAGTCAAAATGTGTGATACAGTAGGTTAAGATCAAAAAATTTAAATGTACTTATATATAAAAAATACATTTCAGGCTACACATGTCAGCATATTGATATACGCTGGAGCCCAACAGTACACTGTCGTGTACAGTATGAGTTTAAATAAGCACAGTTTTTCATACATTTACATTGAACGTGTGTTTGGGTGAGGGTGTGTTTGGATATTTGCTTATGGCTATCCGCATTACCCAGCAACAACAATAATACTTTTGTATGTAGTGTCTGTACTGAATGATTCAGTGCTCATTTTGTGTATCTGCAGCGTGCTTTATGAATTCTATGCATGTGTCGTCAAATTGATTATGTTTTTAATATGCATGTGTTTTCTTAAGTTGCAGTGTGTTAGGGTTGTGTTGTTTTAATTTGGAAAAGAAGACTGATGGAGAGGAAAAGAATCCGGTTAAGACTCATGTTTGACGAAGAAGAAGAAGAAGAAGAAGAAGAAGATAGGGACAGGAGAAGTAGCTTAAGGAAAAGAAAGAGAGCCAGATATATTGAAGATGATGATGAGGAGGAGGAGGAAGAGGAGGACAGCAACGAGGGCGAGGAGGAAGAGGACAACAAGGAAAGCAGCGAGCAGCCAGGCCCATCCACACAGTGCACTCACAACCAGAGGATGCAAAAAAATAGTGAGTCTTTGGAGCTGTGTGATAAAGATTAGACAAACAAGAGGGGCTTAACGAAATCTGTATTGTAATGTGCATTGTACAGAACATTTTCCATGACGTGAAAATACTCTCACAGTATTTTCTTCTTGAGTACTGCTAAGCCAACTGTGTGTGCAACTCTATAGGATTGTTGACTGTAACCTGTGGAAACAAAACAGGCATCCTGGATGTAGAAAAGCTGAACAGGGGTAAGCAGAAACTAATACAGTTTTACTTCAGAATTCATAAACAACACCTTTTTTATTTCCACATTCCTTTGTCTTTATATGGTTTTGTAATGGGTGTTGCTCTGTTTAGGTGAGGAGTGTATCAAATGTCAGAACAGCTGGTTCTCTCCCCCCACCTTTGAGGAATTCGGGGGGAAAGGCTCCTGTAAAAAATGGAAAAGAAGTATTTTCTATGGAAATAAGCCACTCCAGTTTTTGTTTGAGGTAAGATATGTTTGTCCTGTCTTGCGTACTTTTCTTTATCCCATAAAATCTGAACAACACTAAATAAACTGCTTAACAAACTATTATCACAGCAAGGTTCCTTAACCACCAAGGGATTTAAAAAGAGAGGAACTTCCCCATCAAAGGTAACAATGTGTGAATACAGTGTGATGCAGGTTTTGTAAAACCAATTCAACTTTGACAGCGATGATGAGACTCTTTTTTTTCTTTGTTCTCCCAGCAAAAGAAAATCCGGTCATCATTTCGCATATCAGATAGCTCCTCTGAAGGTTTGTCTGCACTTTCTTGTAACTTAACCCAGAATTACAGCAAGAGTAAGCAGAGTGCATGCCCAGATAATATTATACATTTAACATTCAATGTTTAGCCCTACCACGTAGTAATGAACAATTACTTAAAGTGTACATATTATCATATCCCTGTCAAAGAGTCACAAATACAGTCCGCAGAAGAAACTGAGGAAGATGATGTTAGAGATGAAGACTGGATTCCAGGCAGTGAAGAATTGGTCCTGGAGACAGAGGAAGAAAGGGTAGGGGTTGAAAATGGAGGAGAGGTTATAGACTCAGGAGCTGACAAGAGTGAAGAAGAGGAAGATAAAAAGCAACAGGGAGAAATAGATGAGGACGTGCCTGCTGTTGATGATAACGACAACGGTGTTTGTGAAGGTGACGTTTCCGACAGGAATCATCATCTGTAGAAATTCTATCATTCACATTCATTTTAGCGTCTTAGGCTACTGAGCATGTCTTTGCGGATGAATGAATATATCATATCTTCTTCTTTCAGAGAGGGAGCCAAAATTGATCCATTCAACACCGGAGAAACATGCATTGGAGAAGAAAGTCAAAGTTGTCGTCAAAAGGCTTCCAGAGGTAAGATGGATGTGTGTGTGTGTGTGTGTGTGTGTGTGTGTGTGTGTGTGTGTGTGTGTGCATCCTCCTCTGTAATGTGCTTAACACTGGCGATATTGGGCTGACATTGGTTTGTTGGTCACTCAGTTCATTCAAACCTAAAAAAAGAAGAAGGGGCTCCCTAGAGTCCTATTGAGACACACGTGTGAATAGAGCGCTGCGAGTGGGCGTGTTGGTGATGTGTTCACTCACGTGACTACAACCGTAAAAATACGAAACATCATCAAAACAGAGAAAATGTCTCTTAACTGGAGAGACGACGAGATTCAGGAACTTCTGGCCGTTTTGGCTGACGCAGTTTACTCCAAATTGCAACCCTTTTAAATCTTTTACTGTTCATATTCACTTCAAAACCATAGGTATGGAAGCCCAAAGGTGACTATATTAAAATGACAATATAAACTTTAACATGTCATTCCATAATAGCATTATATTTTTTCATGTGTGTTATTTGAGAAAAAAGTTCAAAGTAGTTTATTTTCACATACTCATATTCTATGACCATGTTAAAATGAAAATGGCAAAGTTTGATTTGATTCATTCATGTCAATAATATTTATGTACAATTAAAATGTAATTTTCTAATCATGTGAAAATGAAAACTTCATTTGATATTTAATTTCCAAAGACCTGACCTGCTGTAACATGGACAATATTCAAATGCAGTAAGATAACCCATGCCCCAAGTCTATCGCATTTACACTGTTTTGGTATTAAAATAAAATTGAAAATACAATCGGTCAGTCCTCTCTTTAAGGCGGGTCTTCAGTTAGGATGTCGCATTATTGTTCAGTGCCTGGTCACCGGCTGGTCTCGCTGTAGTTTTTGTCAAGTTGAAAAATACCTGGATTGGTAGGCCATCTCTCACAGTATTCTCCTACTTTTTACCTTAGCATAACTTGTGAGGGCTGCCTCCCCCATATGGCTAATTTTTGATCTCACATGTTCGTCGTTCTCTTGACCGGTTTCTAACCAAAGTTTGTATGGGCCATTTGAGAGACGGCACAGGAGGTTCGCCGTTCTTCAAGACATGTTGTCTTTACTCCAGCAAATGGTCCCGTGGATGAGTTTGTCTTCCCTCCTGACAATGGATAATCAAACTCTCACGCTAAGATGCAAACATAAAATCAATGGGTTGTTTCCTGAGTTGAATATAACATAATGTACCATTAGCAGATTTAATTTTTGTTTATATATTGCTAAAGATGGGGTATGCAGTGTGCTTATCCAATACACATCTTTTTGTCAAATTCAGTGAATATCTTCCCATAGCCCGCTAGCTTCCTCTATGTCTCTTTTTATATGTGTGCGCTGAAAAACATCTGGTTTTTGTCCTGTCCTGGCTCTGTAAATGGGAAGAGAACCAAGGGGATCGGGCCGAGCCACACCACACTAACTTGTTATTCTAGGTATTGTTAAATTACTACCACGGACATTCAGCTTACATTCTAGTATTTGCTGTTGTTGTACTGGGTCTGGGAAACCATCCTGTCCTAGCAACAGTTTCCAACGACATTACATTACTCGCTGTGTCGTTGTGCTCTCTGTATTTGGTGTTTGTCATGTTATCGTCAAAATTGTTTGAATTCCAGGAAACAAGGATAGCGGGTACATTTTGCTGAGGCTATCTCACCAGCTAGCTTTAACAACCCATCAAGTGCAGTCACCACAGTTTGTTTTTCCACATCTATTTTATAGTTCCTTCCTTCAGAAATATACATTAGATGTGTATTTAGGTATATATGTAATTCACAATCATTTCTGTGCTAAGTTTGTGGCAACCCACAACCTAACTTATATTAGTTGCATTAATTGCTGTGATGTTGTTCACAGTGTATCATGGTATTGGATACATACCCCAACTTTATCCTTTTTTTTTTCCAAACTGATTTTTCCATTGTTGCTTATATATGCAATTTTACTGATAAAATAATACTAGTAAAGTCTAAAAAAAAACCAATTAGTTCTACATCTGTGAGACGGATTGTCACATGTTATATATGTCGCCTGCTCTAGTTTCAGGTAAAGACTGCTTGTCAGTCCATCTACGTGGAGCGTGATACACTGAAAGGTTGTATATTTTATTGTAATAATTGTCATTCTTTAGCTTAAGCAAACAGAAGTTAGTAGTGTTTGAGCATTGTGATTGAATCAGTTTGATTAATTATTGTGTGTCTGTGTATGCTGTGTTTTAATGTTGACAGACGTTGACATGTTCAAGAAAGCTAATCACACAATATTATTCTACTTTGTAATTCAAGTGATTAAGTTCTGTAACATCAGTTTCCTTTGTGAACAGATGATGAGAATGCACAAAATGAAGAGGACAGACAACACAATTGTTCAGCAATAGATGACCCCTCCGTCTCAGCTGGCACACACATTGATCCTTCCGAGATGTCAGACATCATTGTTGGAGGCTCTGAGAAAGAAAATGGGGAGGAGTTTGTACAAAGTGATGAAAGAAAAGAAGATGGACAGACAGAAATCAAAACTGAAACCGGAAAGTCTCCAACACCTCTATATGCACTGGCTACCTCATCTCCAGACATCAAACCTGAAACTGAGAACATGGGAGCAACCAGCAATCACTGGGAGGAGAGAGAAGGAACGGAGCGTTGTGGAAATACGCCGGAAAAAAAACAAAGTAGAGAAGAGGGGCCTGAAATTCAGATACGATGGATTCAAGGATTTGAAGACTGTGAAAATGCTAATAACGACCATCTTAACATGTCAACTTCTGAAGCCAGTGGTCAACCGTCACCCATACAGAGAGGTATCAAGAAGGAAAACATGGATGCAGTGTGTAAGTTCAGAAACCAAAAGAGATGTTATTTCATGTTTCTTTTGTGCAAGCCCAAATATACATTTCAAATTGAAAATACTCCCTAATTGTACAGGTGGTGGCGCTCCCACTGAATTCCAGGGTGTGCTGGTTGCCTGGACCCCCTCTGGCTACGAAGCAGCGGAATCACAAGTGATGAAGCTTGAGACGAGGTAAGGTCTAACAGTCACATCAGTTGGATAAACAAAGATCCTTCATTTGCCATAAAGAGATTTTCTTTCCACAGAGTTCCTGAAACAAACCGAGCCTCAGACATCAGTCAGTCCTCTGACATGGCGGAGGCTGCGTCCTCTAGGCCCTCCACTAGCTGCGATCTGGATACAATGGACCTTGATCAGCTGAAGAGAGAGAAAATAAAGCTGCAGATAAAAGTCTTGAAGCTACAAGAGGAATACTACACTCAGAAAATAAGGGAACGTAAAGAATGACGACGTTTCATTGGAGCCTGATTGGATGGTGCAAAAGGACAATACGATCACTCAGGGATCACTGAGGGTGTTTACTCAACACTCCTGTCAAAACCTGCTAAAGTTGTCAACTTTATCATCATCATTTCCATCTTCCATCATCATCCAGCAGACAGATTGTACCTATAAACTTGAAACAACTAAAACAACCTGTCCATCCATCATCTATACCCGCTTATCCTTTTCCATTGGTTCAGAAGGTACAGGGGGTAGAGCGGGTCAGGGGTTGCTAACCAAAAGGTTTGCGGTCCGATCCCCAGCTCCTCCCCCTGCATGTGAAAGTGTCCGGACTCCACATTGCTCCTGATGCTGTGCCATCTGTGTGAATGGGTGAATATGACAAGTAGTGTAAAGCCCTTTGAGAGGTTGGAGGACAAGAAACTCTGCAACACTCTCTCTCTCCTTTTACTCTTCCGTCATTCGTTGTGTAAGAAAATGATTGTACTGTGCGCCAACCTTTGACTTGACATTATCAAAGATGTGCATCAAAAGTGTAGTTTGTGAAATAGCAGATTGTTATCTATAGAGCTGAAAACTTCATTTGAATACCAAAAAAAGAGGACTTGTTCTCCGCTATGGAATTTGACTCATCTGAGACCTGACTAAAGTCTTTTAATCCTGCAGAATCCTAAAGCAGTACAAATGAATTAAGTGTGAGGCAGGTAATGCATTTATGTCACACACCTTGTGTTATTATGAGCATTAGGCCTGTAACCAAGTATGAATGAGTAATGATGAAACAAAGGAAAAGGATGACAAAAGAAAGAAAACTGTTTTTCTCTTCATATTCAATGTTAATGTTAATACTTGCCTTACTACAAGTGTGCTAATCATTACAGAACATGTGCTATTATTTGATGATTGTAAAATGGTAATATTGATACCTTTTTATTTGTATATTGTTTTAAGGCCTTTGCCTATATTGTGGTGGCTGTGGGAGGATAATAGTGGTTGTTCATTATGTTATGTAATGTACATTTGTTTATTATTCTGCTGAACAAACCAAAATTAAATGAGAAAGATGCCAAATGACAAATGGGTAAAAACAAAACAATATTGTCAGAATAAGACCTCTTGATATACAACTTCTCATGTAACAGCCATAGCCTACATTATTAGACATTTACTAATTGGTTTAAACAAACAACATTTTCCAGTCTGAATTCATTTATTGTCATTGTGAATTAGTGAACTGTTGGAGGAGCACCTAGCACTCTGGTATCACTAGTACTGTATAGAAGTAGTTCCAGCTTTCAGGAAGAAATCAGAATCAGATTTGTTTTAATATTTAAAGTTTTGAAATGTATCTTAACCTAAAAAATATAAATTTTCAACATCTTTGGAGTCATGCCAACCACAGTGACCCTGCAAAGGATCAAAGCAGATTTATGAGTCCCGGATCAGAGATGCTCTCCATGGAAGATCTGGCAGCCTTTTTTTAACCACATAGAAACATTACAGTTCCACAATGTACCTCAGTGAAGCTGACTGCCCTTTATCTAACTTTTTAACATTGAACTCGGCACCATAGGCTGATTCCACTGTCATCGTAATTTTTATTTTGCACCTATGACTTCCTCGTTGACTGGACTGTGACACTAATGTAGTCATCCAAGTTACATAATAAGTGATGAAGACCATGTTATGTTCGTCTTATACAATCATATTTTTGTGTAAGTGCAATGAATATATGCGTGTGTTTAGGCTTGTGTGTGTGTGTGTGTGTGTGTGTGTGGCTGTATGTATGCGTATGTATGTAGCCATGCACATACTTGGACTCGTCTTACTTTTTATACATGCTTCATTGTCCCTTTTTTTTTCTTTTTCTTTTGTCCGGTACACAAATCACAAATGCACTGAAAATGGTTGTTTTTGAAAAAAATGCTAATAAAGAGAGTTTTGAAAAAAAAAAAAAATAATAATGTGTACTTATTTTCGTGCTGGATGTAAACAAAACTCGATAGTTTTTGAGATATTTAGTAATTAGTCATCTATTACTCGAGTCTATAATGGATGTTGAATTCAAGTAATTGGTTTAATTCCAAAGAAATGTGCTAGAAAACCATCAGAATCAGAAATACTTTGCTAAAACATGTTTTTTGAAATGTATCAGTCCATAATTAGAAAACACAACAATGCTTTTTTAAATTTTATGTCGTTCTTGCTATCTCACAATTATGACCTAACCCACTCTCAACACAACTACACTTCTAATAAGATATATAGTGTTTGAAGTGGTATTTAGTAATGTTTTATCATCAATCCTATAAAGTCTAGTCTAGAAATTAATACGTAAATGATTGCCTCAAGCACTTCTGTACAGTTAATGATTATTTTGTCATGCACAAGTAATGCGACTGTAAATGTGATGTGAATGAAAGAAATATTGGTCATCATCTCTACATATGAGGCCCTCTGGAACTCCCTGGTGGTGTTTTGGCTGAAAGACGTGCTGGAAATCCATTCATTCTGTGGGAGTGTCTCCCACTTAAACTTTCTGTTTCATTTCCTCGGAGAGGGCAGGATAGGTAAGACACAGTTCTGTGCTTTTCATTCTGGTGATTTCTGAACAAATGTTAAGTTGTTGGTTTCATGTAGTTTTGTGAAAAAGTTGTACATAGACATAATAAACATGTAACGCTCTGAGTGTATGCGGTGAATTACAATATTATAAGTGCCGAACGGGGCATCAGTCATAGCTGCCAGAAGCAGGCCAGCTGACTTGCTTCCTGCATCACTCTCTCTGTCACCTGACTGCAACTGGATCTCTCTCCTCTCTGTCTCATCCTCTCTGACGGAGCTACCAAACTCAACTGTTTCTTTCAAAGATAACGTGTTGTGTCAGGCTTTTATACAAGCTAATGGACGTTAACATTAGAGCTGGCCTGTTAGGTTACGTTACAAGGCTGGTAAACGTTGGCTGCGCTGTTTCTTACCTTGCTCTACGTTGACTTTACTAGTTCCAGCTTCACCGTCACCACCTTTTTTAAAATATTTATTTAGAAAATCTCTAAGGCCTCTATTTTCTTCTTCTCTTCTTCTCTTTTCTTACCTTTTCTGAGCACCGGACTTGTGCTGACAGAACATTTTGAGCGTACTGAACTTCAAATCATATGACATCAAATTTTGATCAGTGGCCAAACCATTTTTGTGTTGGGGGTGGGGGGGTTCTTACGGTGGCCGACAAGGGCAAACGCGCCGCAGATAGCAAAAATCTTCCAACACGGGAATGATACAGTGGCCCAGAGGTGTCAGGCCAAATACAAAGGCCAGAACACAAATACAAAAGCCACAACGGAAGTGAACTACAATGGAAGTGAACGGTAACGGATGTTGACAGTGAGGCGTGCATCATAGTTAGCTAGAGAACAACGTTTCACTTACTTATCACAGGGGCAAGAGCTGTCTTCTTCTATGAAATAGTCCGCCAGCAACAATCTGCCTCATTGTCAACATCCATTACCGTTCACTTCCGTTGTGACTTTTGTATTCGTGTTGTGGCTTTTGTATTCGTGTTCTGGCCTTTGTATTTGGCCTGACATCTCTGGGCCACCGAAGAATGATGCAAATTCAAAACCACACAAACACATAAAACAAATCCAACAGAAAAATGCTGCAATCACAGAAATGAAGCAGAAGCACAAAATTACAAACCAACAAAACAAATGCCAAAGAAAAATGCTGCAAATTTCAAAAACACACAAAACCCCAAAACAACTGCCAGATAGAAACGCTGCAAATTCACTCGACAAAACAGAAGTGCGCCAGGCCACTAGGGGGATCCGACCTGAGGGATGGACCAGTCCTGTGGGACCAGACCCGAAAGACATGAAGAAGAAGAAGAAAGCTAGCTAAGTTTTGGAGAGAAGAGTAAAAAGTTTTTTTTGTCTCTGCGAGGAATCTATCTGCCTCCTGTTTCTGTGCAGGAAATGGGTGATCTTGCCCGACTTTCTACAGCATTACTGTTTACGGTTATTCGAAAGTGCCCGCCGAAAAGCCGATGTGTAAATGCATGGTTCATGAATAAAGACTTGTGGTATGTTTGATGTGAATCTAGTGCACAAAATAGCGCAGTGCCTCCCAGTGGCTGTCTGACCAAGGTCTATTATTTGTTTAAAAATGCCACAAGAATCTATCTACCTATCTCTATATGATACAATTCTGGTTGCACTGCAATTGAAAACACAAAAATCCAAAGTCAAAATGTGTGATACAGTAGGTTAAGATCAAAAAATTTAAATATACTTATATATAGAAAATACATTTCAGGCTACACATGTCAGCATATTGATATACGCTGGAGCCCAACAGTACACTGTCGTGTACAGTATGAGTTTAAATAAGCACAGTTTTTCATAAATTTACATTGAACGTGTGTTTGAGTGAGGGTGTGTTTGGATATTTGCTTATGGCTATCCGCATTACCCAGCAACAACAATAATACTTTTGTATGTAGTGTCTGTACTGAATGATTCAGTGCTCATTTTGTGTATCTGCAGCGTGCTTTATGAATTCTATGCATGTGTCGTCAAATTGATTATGTTTTTAATATGCATGTGTTTTCTTAAGTTGCAGTGTGTTAGGGTTGTGTTGTTTTAATTTGGAAAAGAAGACTGATGGAGAGGAAAATAATCCCGTTAAGACTCATGTTTGACGAAGAAGAAGAAGAAGAAGGAGCAGAAGATAGGGACAGGAGAAGTAGCTTAAGGAAAAGAAAGAGAGACAGATATATTGAAGATGATGATGATGAGGAGGAGGAAGAGGACAACAAGGAAAGCAGCGAGCAGCCAGGCCCATCCACACAGTGCACTCACAACGAGAGGATGCATAAAAATAGTGAGTCTTTGGAGCTGTGTGATAAAGATTAGACAAACAAGAGGGGCTTAACGAAATCTGTATTGTAATGTGCATTGTACAGAACATTTTCCATGACATGAAAATACTCTCACAGTATTTTCTTCTTGAGTACTGCTAAGCCAACTGTGTGTGCAACTCTATAGGATTGTTGACTGTAACCTGTGGAAACAAAACAGGCATCCTGGATGTAGAAAAGCTGAACAGGGGTAAGCAGAAACTAATACAGTTTTACTTCAGAATTCATAAACAACACCTTTTTATTTCCACATTCCTTTGTCTTTATATGGTTTTGTAATGGGTGTTGCTCTGTTTAGGTGAGGAGTGTATCAAATGTCAGAACAGCTGGTTCTCTCCCCCCACCTTTGAGGAATTCGGAGGGAAAGGCTGCTGTAAAAAATGGAAAAGAAGTATTTTCTATGGAAATAAGCCACTCCAGTTTTTGTTTGAGGTAAGATATGTTTGTCCTGTCTTGCGTACTTTTCTTTATCCCATAAAATCTGAACAACACTAAATAAAATGCTTAACAAACTATTATCACAGCAAGGTTCCTTAACCACCAAGGGATTTAAAAAGAGAGGAACTTCCCCATCAAAGGTAACAATGTGTGAATACAGTGTGATGCAGGTTTTGTAAAACCAATTCAAGTTTGACAGCGATGATGAAACTCTTTTTTTTCTTTGTTCTCCCAGCAAAAGAAAATCCAGTCATCATTTCGCATATCAGATAGCTCCTCTGAAGGTTTGTCTGCACTTTCTTGTAACTTAACCCAGAATTACAGCAAGAGTAAGCAGAGTGCATGCCCAGATAATATTATACATTTAACATTCAATGTTTAGCCCTACCACGTAGTAATGAACAATTACTTAAAGTGTACATATTATCATATCCCTGTCAAAGAATCACAAATACAGTCCGCAGAAGAAACTGAGGAAGATGATGTTAGAGATGAAGACTGGATTCCAGGCAGTGAAGAATTGGTCCTGGAGACAGAGGAAGAAAGGGTAGGGGTTGAAAATGGAGGAGAGGTTATAGACTCAGGAGCTGACAAGAGTGAAGAAGAGGAAGATAAAAAGCAACAGGGAGAAATAGATGAGGACGTGCCTGCTGTTGATGATAACGACAACGGTGTTTGTGAAGGTGACGTTTCCGACAGGAATCATCATCTGTAGAAATTCTATCATTCACATTCATTTTAGCGTCTTAGGCTACTGAGCATGTCTTTGCAGATGTATGAATATATCATATCTTCTTCTTTCAGAGAGGGAGCCAAAATTGATCCATTCAACACCTGAGAAACGTGCATTGGAGAAGAAAGTCAAAGTTGTCGTCAAAAGGCTTCCAGGGGTAAGATTGATGTGTGTGTGTGTGTGTGTGTGTGTGTGTGTGTGTGTGTGTGTGTGTGTGTGCGTGCATCCTCCTCTGTAATGTGCTTAACACTGGCGATATTGGGCTGACATTGGTTTGTTGGTCACTCAGTTCATTCAAACCTAAAAAAAGAAGAAGGGGCTCCCTAGAGTCCCATTGAGACACACGTGTGAATAGAGCGCTGCGAGTGGGCGTGTTGGTGATGTGTTCACTCACGTGACTACAACCGTAAAAACACGAAACATCATCAAAACAGAGAAAATGTCTCTTAACTGGAGAGACGAGGAGATTTGAGGAACTTCTGGCCGTTTTGCCGACGCAGTTTACTCCAAATTGCAACCCTTTTAAATCTTTTACTGTTCATATTCACTTCAAAACCATAGGTATAGAAGCCAAAAGGTGACTATATTAAAATGACAATATAAACTTTAACATGTCATTCCATAATAGCATTATATTTTTTCATGTGTGTTATTTGAGAAAAAAGTAGTTTATTTTCACATACTCATATTCTATGACCATGTTAAAATGAAAATGGCAAAGTTTGATTTGATTAATTCATGTCAATAATATTTATGTACAATTAAAATGTAATTTTCTAATCATGTGAAAATGAAAACTTCATTTGATATTTCATTTCCAAAGACTTGACCTGCTGTAACATGGACAATATTCAAATGCAGTAAGATAACCCATGCCCCAAGCCTATCACATTTACACTGTTTTGGTATTAAAATAAAATTGAAAATACAATCGGTCAGTCCTCTCTTTAAGGCGGGTCTTCAGTTAGGATGTCGCTTTATTGTTCAGTGCCTGGTCACCGGCTGGTCTCGCTGTAGTTTTTGTCAAGTTGAAAAATACCTGGATTGGTAGGCCATCTCTCACAGTATTCTCCTACTTTTTACCTTAGCATAACTTGTGAGGGCTGCCTCCCCCATATGGCTAATTTTTGATCACACATGTTCGTCGTTCTCTTGACCGGTTTCTAACCAAAGTTTGTATGGACCATTTGAGAGACGGCACAGGAGGTTCGCCGTTCCTCAAGACATGTTGTCTTTACTCCAGCAAATGGTCCCGTGGATGAGTTTGTCTTCCCTCCTGACAATGGATAATCAAACTCTCACGCTAAGATGCAAACATAAAATCAATGGGTTGTTTCCTGAGTTGAATATAATATAATGTACCATTAGCAGATTTAATTTTTGTTTATATATTGCTAAAGATGGGGTATGCAGTGTGCTTATCCAATACACATCTTTTTGTCAAATTCAGTGAATATCTTCCCATAGCCCGCTAGCTTCCTCTATGTCTCTTTTTATATGTCTGCCAAATGGGACCAAGATGCGACCAAACCACACTAACTTGTTATTCTAGGTTTTTAAATTACTTTTATTTTTTTTTTTTTTTTTTTTTTTTTTTTTTTTTTTTTTTTTTTTTTTTTTTTTTTTTTTTTTATTTTTATTTTTATTTTTTTTTTTTTTTTTTTTTTTTTTTTTTTTTTTTTTTTTTTTTTTTTTTTTTTTTTTTTAAATTTTTTTTTTTTTTAAAAAAAAGAGAGAGGGGTTTTTTTTTTTTGTGTTTTTCTCACCCTCTTTTTTTAAAACCCCCTAAAGTGTAGTCACCCCAGTTTGTTTTTCCACATCTATTTTATAGTTCCTTCCTTCAGAAATATACATTAGATGTGTATTTAGGTATATATGTAATTCACAATCATTTCTGTGCTAAGTTTGTGGCAACTAGCAGTTTGCTAACCCACAACCTAACTTATATTAGTTGCATTAATTGCTGTGATGTTGTTCACAGTGTATCATGGTATTGGATACATACCCCACCTTTATCCTTTTTTTTTCCAAACTGATTTTCCCATTGTTGCTTATATATGCAATTTTACTGATAAAATAATACTAGTAAAGTCTAAAAAAAAACCAATTAGTTCTACATCTGTGAGACGGATTGTCACATGTTATATATGTCGCCTGCTCTAGTTTCAGGTAAAGACTGCTTGTCAGTCCATCTACGTGGAGCGTGATACACTGAACGGTTTGTATATTTTATTGTAATAATTGTCATTCTTTAGCTTAAGCAAACAGAAGTTAGTAGTGTTTGAGCAGTGTGATTGAATCAGTTTGATTAATTATTGTGTGTCTGTGTATGCTGTTTTAATGTTGACAGACGTTGACATGTTGAAGAAAGCTAATCACACAATATTATTCTACTTTGTAATTCAAGTGATTAAGTTCTGTAACATCAGTTTCCTTTGTGAACAGACAGTTCATATGATGGGAATGCACAAAATGAAGAGGACAGACAACACAATTGTTCAGCAATAGATGACCCCTCCGTCTCAGCTGGCACACTCATTGATCCTTCTGAGATGTCAGACATCATTGTTCGAGGCTCTGAGAAAGAAAATGGGGAGGAGTTTGTTCAAAGTGATGAAAGAAAAGAAAATGGACAGACAGAAATCAAAACTGAAACCGGAAATTCTCCAACACCTCTATATGCACTGGCTACCTCGACTCCAGACATCAAACCGGAAACTGAAAACATGGAAGCAACCAGCAATCACTGGGAGGAGAGAGAAGGAACGGAGCGTTGTGGAAATACGCCGGAAAAAAACCAAAGTAGAGAAGAGGGGCCTGAAATTCAGATACGATGGATTCAAGGATTTGAAGACTGTGAAAATGCTAATAACGACCATCTTAACATGTCAACTTCTGAAGCCAGTGGTCAAACGTCACCCATACAGAGAGGTATCAAGAAGGAAAACATGGATGCAGTGTGTAAGTTCAGAAACCAAAAGAGATGTTATTTCATGTTTCGTTTGTGCAAGCCCAAATATACATTTCAAATTGAAAATACTCCCTAATTGTACAGGTGGTGGCGCTCCCACTGAATTCCAGAGTGTGCTGGTTGCCTGGACGCCCTCTGGCTACGAAGCAGCGGAATCACAAGTGATGAAGCTTGAGACGAGGTAAGGTTTAACAGTCACATCAGTTGGATAAACAAAGATCCTTCATTTGCCATAAAGAGATTTTCTTTCCACAGAGTTCCTCAAACAAACCGAGCCTCAGACATCAGTCAGTCCTCTGACATGGCGGAGGCTGCGTCCTCTAGGCCCTCCACTAGCTGCGATCTGGATACAATGGACCTTGATCAGCTGAGGAGAGAGAAAATAAAGCTGCAGATAAAAGTCTTGAAGCTACAAGAGGAATACTACACTCAGAAAATAAGGGAACGTAAAGAATGACGACGTTTCATTGGAGCCTGATTGGATGGTGCAAAAGGACAATACGATCACTCAGGGATCACTGAGGGTGTTTACTCAACACTCCTGTCAAAACCTGCTAAAGTTGTCAACTTTATCATCATCATTTCCATCTTCCATCATCATCCAGCAGACAGATTGTACCTATAAACTTGAAACAACTAAAACAACCTATCCATCCATCATCTATACCCGCTTATCCTTTTCCATTGGTTCAGAAGGTACAGGGGGTAGAGCGGGTCAGGGGTTGCTAACCAAAAGGTTTGCGGTCCGATCCCCAGCTCCCCCCCTGCATGTGAAAGTGTCCGGACTCCACATTGCTCCTGATGCTGTGCCATCTGTGTGAATGGGTGAATATGACAAGTAGTGCAAAGCCTTTTGAGAGGTTGGAGGACAAGAAACTCTGCAACACTCTCTCTCTCCTTTTACTCTTCCGTCATTCGTTGTGTAAGAAAATGATTGTACTGTGCGCCAACCTTTGACTTGACATTATCAAAGATGTGCATCAAAAGTGTAGTTTGTGAAATAGCAGATTGTTATCTATAGAGCTGAAAACTTCATTTGAATACCAAAAAAAGAGGACTTGTTCTCCGCTATGGAATTTGACTCATCTGAGACCTGACTAAAGTCTTTTAATCCTGCAGAATCCTAAAGCAGTACAAATGAATCAAGTGTGAGGCAGGTTATGCATTTATGTCACACACCTTGTGTTATTATGAGCATTAGGCCTGTAACCAAGTATGAATGAGTAATGATGAAACAAAGGAAAAGGATGACAAAAGAAAGAAAACTGTTTTTCTCTTCATATTCAATGTTAATGTTAATACTTGCCTTACTACAAGTGTGCTAATCATTACAGAACATGTGCTATTATTTGATGATTGTAAAATGGTATTATTGATACCTTTTTATTTGTATATTGTTTTAAGGCCTTTGCCTATATTGTGGTGGCTGTGGGAGGATAATAGTGGTTGTTCATTATGTAATTATGTAATGTACATGTTTATTATTCTGCAGAACAAACCAAAATTAAATGAGAAAGATGCTAAAATGACAAATGGGTAAAAAAAAAACAATATTGTCAGAATAAGACCTCTTCAAAGTCATAATCTTCTCTTTTTTCCGCTGAAGTCGCCACGTTTTGACTCGTGATGGCGCCTGATATTAGCAACCTTGCATACAACGGCAATATTAAGCAGTTGTTTAGGATTTGTATGAGAAGGTAAAGGTAATTTGCCCATTTTTCATTAAATTGCCTGTTTTGTCAACCTTTTAGAGTCGCAGCAGCCACAGATCGCTGACAGGCTAATATACAACTTCTCATGTAACAGCCATAGCCTACATTATTAGACATTTACTAATTGGTTTAAACAAACAACATTTTCCAGTCTGAATTCATTTATTGTCATTGTGAATTAGTGAATGGTTGGAGGAGCACCTAGCACCCTGGTATCACTGGTACTGTATAGAAGTAGTTCCAGCTTTCAGGAAGAAATCAGAATCAGAATCAGATTTGTTTTAATATTTAAAGTTTTGAAATGTATCTTAACCTAAAAAATATCATTGTTCTATGTTCAGCTTATCTTTGTAGATTGAAAGTGTAATTATTGCCTCTCTTATTCATATGTTTTGGTCGTGCCTGTCTCTCCAGTTACTGCTCAAACATTTTTGGGACACTATCAGGGCCCTCTTTGGAGTCATGCCAACCACAGTGACCCTGCAAAGGATCAAAGCAGATTTTGTAACCTTCCTAATGTTACTGGCAAGACGATTGATCTTACTTCGCTGGAAGTCTCCTTCTCCTCCCTCATATGAGTGATCAGAGATGCTCTCCATTTTAGTAGGCTAGAAAAAATTAGGCACAAGCTACGTGGATGCTCAGCTAAATTCTTTAAAATCTGGCAGCCTGTTTTTAACCACATAGAAACATTACAGTTCCACGGTGTACCTCAGTGAAGCTGACTGCCCTTTATCTAACTTTTTAACATTGAACTCGGCACCATAGGCTGATTCCACTGTCAGTCTTATTTTTATTTTGCACCTATGACTTCCTCGTTGACTGGACTGTGACACTAATGTAGTCATCCAAGTTATATAATAAGTGATGAAGACCATGTTATGTTCGTTGTATGTATCTGTTTTATACAATCATTTTTGTGTGCAGTGAATATGTGCAAATTATATAATATATTGCAAATTAGATAACATATTTAAGTGCAGTGAATATATGCATGTGTTTAGGTTTGTGTGTGTGCATGTATGTATGCGTATATATGTAGCCATGCACATACTTGGACTCATCTTACTTTTATACATGCTTCATTGTCCTTGTTTTTTCTTTTTCTTTTGTCCTATACAAAAATCACAAATGCACTGAAAATGGTTGTTCTTGAAAAAATGCTAATAAAGAGAGTTTGAAAAAAAAAAAAAAGTGTACTTATTTTCGCGCTGGCTGTAAACAAAATGAATAGAAAACGGCAGTCAGTCAACTAAGGCAAAAATATAGTGCAAGAAAAAGAAAACAAGTTGGGTTGTGGGAGTTATACTCTCAATCCATCTGCTGATCAACACAGCTGAGAGCAGTACGATCTATATATAGAGCTAAGTGGAGTCATTTAAGGGTTGGCAGAAGAAAGGCTTCATACAAATGCCAAAAAAATTTATTATCAACTATATTTGCATTCATGTGTGACGTTAAAAAATAGAATTCGTACACTTTTTTGTATTTTGTACATTTGTATTTACAGTTCAACCAAAGCAGTGAGTGTGAAACAGTTGTTGCTACTACGGCCACTATTCTGTCATATTTTCTTCCTCTTCACCATGTTCCACCTCTTCTTCCTCCTCTTCATCATCATCTTCATCAAAGTATTTATCCTCTGCATCTCTGCTGACTATGTCCAAGTTGTCATAGTCTGGGTTCTCATCCACCTCGCTGTAAACAGACACACACACACACGCTTTCCATTAAAAACAACACAAGCTGTTTGGTGGCGGCTGTTTGAATTTGACTTTTTCTTGAGATAACTTTATTAAATAATCATTATTCCACTATTTGCTAGCTACTATGTTGTACCTCTATAACAATCTAGATATGAAGTGGAAACACTAGCGAGTCCACCACTTGAGACAACAGGCATTTATAAAACATTTTAATTGAACAACAAAACCATATTTATTGTCATTTTACTCTTGTATTTTTCATTGAATATGGAATAAATCCTTGTCTTTTATTCTAAAGCCCCACACATCCTGTAGATATTTATAATCATAGTATTTATTGACAACTGATTCAATCATCAGATCTCACTCTAACCTTCAATGTCTGTGTAACACAGTCTTTACAGAGTATGAGAGCCCATTCAGTGGTGGTGTGGCTGACCTGTAGTTGAAATCCTTGTCTTTGCCATCTAGGAAGCGCTGGTGCATCTGACTGATGAACTCCTCCCTGAGCAGCGCCTTCTCCTCCGCGGTGGGCTCCCCTTCCTGCTGCCGGACACTGTTATCTACAGTAGGGACACAGAGTGAGTGACGGAGCCGAGAGGAAAGATAGTGGTGGGAGAAAAGGAGCGCAGAGACGGACCCACTTTTCTTCGTCTGTTCACTTCATTCTGCGAGAGCGACTTCAGCTCCACCAGTAATACTCCCTTACCATCATCATCTTCATCCTCCTCCTCCTCCTGTGCTCCTTCCTCTCTCTCCTGCTCCTCCTGCAGACGATTCTGGATGAGACGCTCCTGGTAGGAGTTGAGGAGGAGGTGGGCGAGCCCTCCTGTGCCTCCCCCTGGTTCCCCCTGTGCACTGTCTTGCATGGCCTCCTGGGAGCGCTCCAGCACCTGGTTAGTTATCAGAAATTACTTTAAAATAAACAAACAACAAACTGAGCGGCTAATATCAAATAAAACTAGTTCAGATCTTTTAAGTATGACACGCTCTCACCTCCTCGTCAGTCAGGTACTGGCCGATATATTGCTCATACAGCAGCGGCTCCCTCATTCGCATCTGTTCCTCACTGAAATACTGTCCCTCTAGAGGAGGAGGTAGGGCAGAGGAACAGAGGGATGACAAGCAGGAAAGAACACACAGATAATATAATTCATTTAGCATACACTATGTACTACAAGACTCAGTACTGGTTGGTGTAGAGACTGTTGGGGGGGCAGCAGATATATCTCAGTAGTGGATAGCTAGCTAGCTTTCCAGCCTGGATCTATGTGTCAGGTAATGTTAAATTACTTTCCCATCGACATTCAGCTTACTATCTAGTTTGCTACATATGCTGTTGATATGCTGTTGTTGTGGTGTTAACTATAGTAGCAGGAGAGTATTGCTGTGTGGAGCTGGTGGGCTGCCTCTGGGAAATCGTCTCCTCCTCTCTGCATGTTAGCTTTGAAGCAGCAACTGTTAATTACATTGCTTTCTGTGCCGCTGTTCGCTCTATATGATATTTACTGTCATGATATTGGATTTCTCCAGAATTGCTTACACCCAGCTTTAAGAATGTGATTTACAGTCAATTCAACACAGTTATGGTAAACTGAGTCAGATCCTGGCTTATACTGAAAGCCCTTAATTCTTAACCGGTATCACTCAATATATACTATGTAGTTCCATGTGTTACCCCTCTGCAGGGCCCTGAGGGCGGCGTAGCGCTGGTTTCGAACCCTGGTCCTGTTGGTGCATGCCGCAGCTCGTCTCTGTATCACTTTGCTGTAGTGCTGAACCCGTGGATCTGAGCAGACGTGGGCAAAGGCTGACAGGTTCGGGGGCTTGAGGCAGGCCTAGAGAGGGGGGGGGCAGTAGATCACACAAAGAAAACAGATGAGCACAAAAACAAGGTGTTTGATTTGGTTGTCAGTATTCTAAATCCCTTTCCTTTTTGACTGTGCTGTTTATATCAAGTGATTTTTTTTAAACCCAAAGACTTTTTGCTATAATGAACCCAATAACTGTCACTATATCACTATCACCTGCACATTAACATCAGATTCACTGAGAATTCTGAAAATGCAGTAAATTATTAAGAAGCAGTTCAATGTCTAAGTCTTTGTTATAGCCCACAACTAATCTTCTTTTTAGTATGGGGGCTGTCGGTGCATGGTGTATAGGCAGATAGGGCATCTTTTGGTAAAAAAAAAAACAGAAATTAAACATACAGTTTAGTATTAACAACACCTCTGATACACTGAAGTTGATGATACTAAACACCAGCATCCAAACAATCCAACACTGTACTCTGATGTCTTCATGAACCTCCCAGCCTGAGGGCCTGTTTATATGTATAAATGTGAGTGCATAATAAACAAATACACACACTGAGCTGTGCACACATACATGGTACCTCTCCAGGAACACCAGCGGCCTGCTGCTGTACTGATGCAGCAGCTCCTCTCTGCGCTCCTCCAGGGTCAGTTCAGCCTCTCCTATCTGCTGGCTCTTCACTGGACTTCCACTCTTAGCGATGGCTTCCACCATCTCATTTACACAAGTGGACTCTGCCTGGCTCACGTACTGTATGAACAGAAGAAAACACCGTCAGTAAAGCACTATGATGACCGCTGTACCACCACCAACAACAGCAGAGCGCAGTGGGCAGATACTCGCTTTATCTAAAACAGAGCTAGCGACTGGAGGTGATGCTCCGGGTCTCACCTGGGGGTCCTGCCGTGGCGACCGTGGCGGCCGTGGCGGCCGTGGGTCTGCGGGGCGGTTTAAGTCCCATCTGCAGGGCTGTGCCACCGGTTCTTCAGGTAATTTACTCTCCTCTTCACTCTCACACGGCCTCGGCTGTGTTTTAACGGGAGGCTCGATTTCGCCCCACATAATTATCCCTTTAAGCAGCTTGCTAATGTGTTTCCAGTTAACGTTAGCTCTGGATAGACACCCAATGTGACGTTAACTAACGTTAAGATAGCTAACGTGTATATCCGTTGTCCGGTTATTTGTTACCGTACAGAATATGTTGACATAGACACCGGAAAGAGCTAGTGGATTTTGTTTTATTTTGTGCTTATATTCTTCATACATGAAAAATATAATTAAATTTGGTTTAAATGCGTCCCCTTTGACTTGAGAAGCATTGTTTATCCGCCATGTTGGTCCGTCAGTAATATTGGACTACTTTTCTGCGACCGACAGAGGGTTCCTTCCTTCCGTCTGTTCTGTTGATTTTGTCGCCCTCTGGTGGTAGTTTTTATTTTTTATTTTTTATTTATTTATTTATTTTTTACTATAGAAAGAAGTGAAATATTATTTTAAAAAATAAAGAACAAAAAAATATATATATACACATACACGTATATTGTATGGGTACCTCATAAATTATTTCCTGCTCCAGTTCAGAGGCTGCTGATCCAGCTGTACACTGCAATAATCCCGTCTGTTCTCTGTTCATCCATCACTGTCTGATTTGGATCGGACACCAAACAGGACAGGAACAGACTACAACGAACAGTCAGGACTGCAGAGAAAATCATTGCTGCCAACCTGCCCCTCCGTTCAGGACATATCAGGGGAAAAAAAGGCAGGAAACATCCCTGCAGCCCCATCACAGCCTGGACACAACCTGTTCCAGTGTTTCCCCCTCTTGTATGCACTAGAGAGCACTGTACACCCAAACAACCAGACACAAGTTTCTTCCCACAGGCCATCACTCTGATGAACAGTTAAATCAGTAATACAGTGTTCAGACATAGGTTTTCCTGTTCCAAAGATCATCATTGTCAGTATTTTATGATTACTATTATCTACTAAAGTAATAGTACACATTAGACCACACTTCACTACCTCTGCTAAGACATTTAGAATATACGGAAACAAAGTGGTCTGACAGACACATAGTGGCTGAGAGATGAGAAAACCAGATGACTGAAGATAATAACAATAATCACTTACTTAGATTCATGTTGTCCTAGTTTTAGTCTGTAGTCTGTAAATCAGTTTAGGAGTGATTGCAGGGACACTGCATAAGGAGGCAGCTTCATATTTACTTTCCATCAGACACTGTCAGTTTGCATATTTTAAATTAGATGCAAACTAGCTAATTACATTTTTAATCTATTTGAGACTATGCATACGGCACAGTATAAACTGACATGATACGGGCCTAACGTGGGTCCTGTTTTATTAGTTGATGCTGTCTTGAAGAAGGTCCCGCTGTCAATGTTTTGTTATTGTTTTGTGCGTAGTTGTTGTATACTAATAAAATAAATTACCATGCAGAATAGGCCTAAACTTGCCATATTGCACAGTGAGAGAAATGAGGGTTTAGTTCGGGGCCCACACAGTTAATTCTTTGGCCAGGGGTCCCGAGTGAGTTCATCTTACCTCCCATATATGCAACATTTGATAAAACATCTGGATGTTTCTCTCCTTTCCTGAACCTTTCACCTGCTGTTCTTCTGGCTGCTATGTTCTCTCTATTTCTGTTTCTGTTGATTGCTTTTGTTGTGTCTCTGTTTTATATCTTGCTATCAGATTTTTTTGTGAAACACTATGACGTCTGTGCTACGTAGCCGACAACCTATCAAGTCAAGTAGAGTTACAAAATGTACCAACAGTAGCCTTCCATTCATTTGACTTTAGTTAACTTCTTTATACCCCATGGTCTTCCTGCTGCATGTGCGAATAAAACATAAAGCAAAGTGTGCTAAATAGTTTCTTCAAGTAGCCCACACACTGTCGTACAGGTGACTTCAGCAGGGAGGAGTCACTCTCACAGAAATATAACTTTATATATATATATATATAATATATGTATATATGTATATATATGTGACCACTTCACTGTCCTCTCTGAGCTCTGATAAATATGATGACTAATATATGATATGATCACTAATGTGAGCTCGTTCCCGCGTGAGCGTGACTTTGTCGCGGCGCGAGGGGTCTGCCCCAGGTTAGAGGAAGTAAGTTAAGATGCTGCGACACAGACACACCCACAACAGTAGCGGTGGACGAGCTGTCTTCCTTTCACAACAGTTGTTGGTACAGAACGTATCCGCGGATATGTTCAACAGTTACAGTTGTATTTTGAAAGTTTTAACAGGAAATCATTTCTTTCTCATCGAGGTTGACTTTATAATGTTGGCACAAACTTGTCAGCGTCGCCGGACTAACACAAACTCCGCTCGTCTTGTGGTTGTATCCGTTCGAGGTAAACAGTGACATGGACACCGAACAGGAACAAAGGTAGGTATGTACAGCAGAGCTTCCACATGACTTCACTGCGTGCTGTGTAGTGCCAGAGCTCTGTAGCATGCTCTTGTGTACAGACCACACTGCTTTCAAGTAGACTATCAAACCCATTGTGACAGCTGCTTCTGGACTATTGGGATTCCCAATATCTGGCAGTAGTCAGTTCAGCGGGCCACTGTTTAACAACATTGTGTCCATTGTACATTGTATGGAGAGACATAAGTGTAATGTAGCCAATTGCAGAAGTGTTTCTAGTGCACATAGAGTAATTACTAACCCTATATGTTGCCTACTCTGAGTGAAAGCAGTGAAATTGCTAGTGTTTGTATAGTTTAAGTCAACGCAAACTTAAGATCAATGGACTCACTGTTCTTTGTAAATATGGTTTCTAATCCCATCTGGCCATAGCTTTGAGCCACTCACTGTCTCTCACTGTCTTTCTTGCTTACCTGTCCTCCTTCTATTAACATCTGGTCTCTTAAATACATTTCAAACACAGTGCAGATCAAACAGCAGTTTTATCTTAAACAGTCCAGCTGTCCTTACCAGTGAGCTTACAGTGTTGGCTGTAGTAAAGACCATACAAATACCACAAAATACAAGTAGACAAAACTTTTATTTTGAAAAGCATTTCTCTTTCTTCCTCAAACCGAGGATATAGCAGATTATTCTCTGTGCCAAGCTCCTCTTCTTTTTCTCTACTCAGACACTTCCTCCTCTAGCTGGAGTTCGAGGGCCTGTGAAGCAATGAGGGTCCTCCTCGCTTTCCTTCTCTCCCCCCTCCTCCTCTTCCTCCTCTTCTTTCAGCTCTTCCTTCAGATTGGCAGTCCTGACTTACGTCTTTCTCAGCCTGGAGCTTGAAGGCAAACTCAAGGTTGGTTGAGGTCTGTTGTTCCCCCAGTGTTACCTTCAGGTCCTCCAAGTGCTGCTCCATCGTCTGCTGGAGGAGTCTCCTGCTCAGCCCTCAGCGTGCTGATCCACTCCTGGTCCTCACTCCCCTTTCAGCGCCAGATTTCATCTCCGTATCGAGTTGTTGCTGATGGGTGGCTCTTCTCTTCCTGCAGCTGATCACTGAGCTTCAGTTTCTCTCTTTCTGGAGCTCGTTTGTTAAATACAATCCTGTTCTCATTCGTCTCTGTCTCTGCTGGAGAGCTCCTTAACCTTTTCCTCTTGACAGGCAACGTGCTGCTCTGAACTTTAGAGCTGAGCTTTCACCACCTCTGCCTGAGTATTTAGAGCCTAGTTCCCCCTCGTCTCTGTTCAGGGCAGATGGGTTGAATCATGTTATTGTTGCACATCATGTTACACCTTTGAACATATTGTAGATTTGGGATCCGCATGGTCAGAATCCAAACTGACAGATTCAGTCTTTTGTTTCTCCACTGTACACTTTATATGCAGATTAAACACCTATCCCATTTATTTCTTCTCACTTTGTTTTTAGTGTAAGTGGATCCAGTGAGATGGGAATCCCTAGGTGCTTGTTTAACAAGAAATAAAAACCAGGTATGTACCAGTAACAGCAGCTCTCTGCTAATGATCTTCATATCTCCTTTATTAATCTGACAAAAGGCAGCTGTCAGACAGTAATTAGGAATTTTAAGTAGTCTAAATCATGATGGATTTCCAGTTTCATCCATTTAGGAGTAATTCACTGATGCACATGGTTGGTGCTCTCTGGCTTGTGAATATTTGCTTTGCCACTGACAAAGCTGTAGAAAGCCTGGTTAGGTTTTTCTCTTTGAGTTGACACATTGACAGCTGTTTGAAAAGCGTGCATTCAATACACTGTTTACATTCCAACACAAACACACCGGGATATTCTGGAGCAAAATTAAGCCAGTATTGCCTCTCCTGTCTTCATACAGTGTTTCATACAGTGTTTCATACAGTGCTTGTATCTCAGAGCATAATGTCTTAGAGTCTTTGGGATGTGTGCCGTCTGTCAGTGAGGTCATCTGCTATGAAATTAGACACATGACCATGCTGTGCCCACGTTGATATTACTATAACCTGAAATGAGTCACCAACATGATAAAAATAACAGCTTTGTTTTAATGATACTGTCTCTTCAAGTGTTTCTCATTTGGACTATTAGCTACAGTGTTGTAGGCAGATAATAATTCCCCCGGGGTAATGAGCTGAGACAGACTCTCTCAGCTCAAATCCTAACCTTAACTGTAGGTCAGAAAATTGGGCAAGTACCTGTAACACATGGATGACTCTATGCAGCCCTTGTATTTATAATCATTGCTCGACCCAAGTAGAAAATATAATTGTTTATGGGCAGTTTGGGATTAATACCAGAGTGCCAGACTGGTGTGTGATGTAACCGACTCACACTCAACTACAACAGTCTGTTAATTAAATAATTGGATCACTCCCCCTCTCAATCTTGCAAAAATGTATCAAATCTACAACTGACCATTCACTACTAAACCCTCCCCCGAGCAGTGATTGTCCAATCATAGCTTAGCAACAGTAACTAGGCAAGCCACATGCCAAAACCATATTTAGAGTTTTGAGGGTGTTTTTTTAATTCTTTTTCCAAAACTCAAAACAGAAGAAAAGACCAAGGAATACATTAAACAGTGTGTTTATCTACTCTAACTTAAACTGCACATGTTAGTGTTCCTGGCTAACTAGCTTAGTTGTAATCTCGTGTTATTTACAAACACAAGGGGCATGTCATTAGGTAACTATATTATTATGTCATCTTGACAAGTACAACAGTAGTAACTAAAGGGGTGGGACCTAGCTGCAGTCACAGAACATGTACATCACTCCGTGCTAGCTTGCTTTAGTAAGCTTGTCTGAGAGTTTTTCAGTCAGCCTGGGCCCACTCTGTCAGTGTGTCTGTGAACCAAGAAGAGCAAAGAGAGCAACAGGAGAAGGCGAGGACCAGCAGACTTTAGTGCACCGGGGTACAAGTAAGGGCCTCAGATCAGTTGTCATCTCAGTAGACGTTATCATGGGGGGCTGCTTCTGGAAGGCAAAATTAGATTTGTTTTTAATAGTTTGTAACTTAACAGTACTTGCAGCCATTAACTAAAGGTCAGTAACGGTAAAAAAGGGACAAAGGTTTTGTTCCATGTGTGATGGGCATGCTGTTTTGTTGGCTAGTTTTATTACAGTTGTGTCAAGGCCAGTAATATTACTTCCGTGACCACTTGTCTCTTATTCTTTTTGTAAATGTGCAATGATTTGTGGTTTCAGGTTTGCGTTTTAATATCATGCGAAACACGTACAAAGCTGTTATCTTAGGAGTGGTAAGGTTGAGGAAATATAATATAATAACATTTCCTCCCATAAAGGAGGTAGAGCTATGGTTGTTGCTACTGCTGATGCTGATGATATTGAGCTAGAGCTCTCCTTGCTATTTTATGTTTTAATGACATGTTGGAGTTTATTATAGTGCTCTCTTTTAAATATACTGTTTTAGTGGATTGTTTTGGCTGCTTAAGAGTTTCAGGAACCAAACGCTGTTCAGAAGCTGGCAGAGCACACAGGAGTCAGGACAGATCCCGTGTGTACAGGCTATCCAAATGTTAGGCAGTGCTTTATCTGAAAAGATATGGGATCCTTTTACTTTCCCTAGATAAATAGAGTTTAAAAAAAGTTGATGAGTGAACCCTTACACAAGTTAGATAAACAGTACTACAAAGAACGGCTAACATGGAAAATTACAAGTTACATTGTGTAATACTATAAACTATCAATAGTAATAGTGTTTTTAACAGATATGCTGTTATGGTATTTATGCTAATATGTTAATGTGATGTTCTAATGGACGAGCTCACACATCGTTAAATCATCATCTCAGATTCTGGTGTGTGTGTGTGTGTGTGTGGTGGCCATCGGGGGTTACCTTTCTTCCCAGTAGCCAGAGGATCATTATGTAATGTGTTGTCACGGAGAGTGTTGTGGTGTTCTTGTTGTTGTTGTTTTTTACACAGCAGCTGATCGGCCTGACTGTTCCAGCAACTCTCACGGTTTATGGTGAGTTGCCATAACAACAAAGAGGCGGACCCACTGTCAAAGTTGGGTGTCCGTTAGCTCTGTTATGTCTTCCTCACTGTGAACTACAGGCTCATATGACTAGAAATGATGTCATTTAGACAGAGAGAGGTTTGGACAGAAAGATAGAAGGTGGTGTATGTGACAGGTGTAGAACAGGCAGATATGGAGGGTAGAGATAAGAGAGGCAGAACTAAATACTTTATGCTATGAGATTACTCTAACACAGTTGTTATGGATGTGTTTGGTGCCTTCGGCCCTGAAATCTAGGTGTTTATACGTGTTTATGTGTTTCTTCACTTCTTAGATCTGTCTACTGGCCTCACTCTGAATCCCTGGTAACCATGGAAACCAAGTTCGGAGAGAGTCCACACACAGATGTCTCCATCCCCAGCCCACCGAGTGAAGCTGTGGCCAATGTGCTGCAAGAGTTGTCCCTGCAGCCTGGCCCCAACCTGCTGCCAGTCAAAGAGAGGAAGGATGGTAATTGGCAGTTTTTACACTCAAACTCAAACTGCTTTTAGATATTTTCATGCAGAGACATGTTTGGTAAAAGTGTCTATCAAATGGCAAAAGCACTGTAAAGTTACTAAAGCAGAGGAGCAAGAAGGCGCCAAGTCATTATGGCCCCATTTGATTAAATGTATCTGCTGAACATGTTTGGAGGCTGTTTTCTTTTAAAGATGTTCCTCACGGGCGAGATGGTGTTTGTGTGCCGTGGGTTTTTCCAGAATCTGTAGACCTGCTTGCTGCTCCTAGAGTTTACATTTCGGACATACTAGGTCTCCCTTCGCATTACCTCATTATAAACAGCAAGTGCTGTCTTCCAAATGCACACGCACTCAACAGTGAGCTTGCTTACGCACACACATACAGACTGTCAAACCAATGAAAAATATTGTATACACACCATATTTTAGTGCACTTCTTGAAATGACGGTTCAACAGCAAAGTTGACCCTAAACTTGACCCAAAGACAGGCTTTTCTGCAAGTATGTCTTCAAGTATAAATACACCACTTATTAGAGGAGGTTCTTAAAGGTCTGCAGAGAACAGTCTTGATTCTGAAATTGGGTATAGATAGGACTAAGGCCCATTTACACCTGGTGTTAAAGTGGAGTGTTGGAGTTATTGGCCACTAGTAACACTATTGAGCATGTGTTTTTATGTGTGGGTCACTGTTTTCTTTTCCTCTTGTGCACGAGGACGCACAGGCACAGAGGGGCTTTTTTTTTTCACACAGCAAAATAAGAAAACACAGGCAGAGGGAAGGGTCTCTTCAGATACAGACACCACCACACACTTCTAGTGGATCATAAGTAATGATTGAGAGGATTATTATGTTTATCTGAGTATATAAATGTTGTAGGGAAATCTTATGTAGTAATATATGTCTTTAAGTTAGCAGGAAGAGGCGGACAGTTAGGGGACCTTTCAGCTTTAACTAGCAACTTAAACTGCAGTTTTGTAATGGTGCATGTAATATGTACAGTATTTGCATTTTTGTTAGGCATAATTGTTGGCATCCTAAAATAAAAGCTATGGTTGCTGTGCTTTTTCCACAATTTAAATGTAGACTTCTAGCTGGAGGCATTTAGCTGGTGCCTTGATGTGGGCACTTGGATTTGATAATGCAGTCATTGCAAAGAATACTGGGTATTTCATGTGCAGCTGAGGTATAGATAGAACATGAATGCCATCCAAAAATGTTTCAGTGTTTGTTGCTTCTGTACACAAGTAGCATTTAAGATTGATCTAACATTGACATTAAAATGGCAACGCATACATGAGATGGAATCTTTTTGATATTCTCTCTTTTGATATAATACTCTATTTGTTTTTTATCTACAAGAAAATATCTTTCTCTCATTCTCTTTTCCTCAGAAGGACACCTGACAGGAGTCTTATGTTTTGTTTTTGTGTTTTCAGAAGTGCAGTATGAATATATCTGCTACAGTCTGAAACATGTAGGCGAACCACTGTACGAGGTAGCCACCTTTGGGCCAATACGAGTACTACAACCAGACCAACAAATGTCAATCCGTGGCGTCTGGTTAACAGTTCATCAACAGGCTTCCATTTGATGGACTCAAGATCAGTTTTAGTCCCTTTCAAATCCCTTTAATCAGTCCTGAATAACCCCTCTGTATGTGGGAGTTTGTGTGTGTGTGTGTGTGTGTGTGTGTGTGTGTGTGTGTGTGTGTGTGTGTGTGTGTGTGTGTGTGTGTGTGTGTGTGTGTGTGTGTGTGTGTGTGTAAGGTGTGTGCAATCTTAGCCCCAGAGTGCACAGATAAAGAAGTTCTGGATATAGCGATGTGGCCAGCTGGTCCTGCTATTTAAAAGCAGTTGGAGAGAGTACAGAGGTTAAGAGGAAGGAGAGATGTAATATCAGAGGAAGGCTGGTTGGTTGGGGGTAGGGGGTGATTTTGAAGTGAAGAAAAGGTATTGGCTGAGGATACTGGAGAAACTGTCGGTGCAGGGGTACTCAGGAGGAATAAAATAGAATAAAAGGTCAAAGGAGGAGTTTAACCTACATTAACAGCAATTATTCCACATACATGTTCTATTAGGTGAGTTTAAGGAAGCTAAGTGTGCATGCAGCAACCTAAGCCAGGGAGGCTCAGTGCAGCAAGCACACAATTATGCTCATGAGCAATTTAATATTGAAGAAAATATGGACAATTTGAACAACTTGGTAAGCTTTTGGGGGTTTTTGGACCCACAGTGCTGTGTGCAAAACACAAAGTTTATGTTTCACCCACTTACAGACATTTAATGCATCTTTGGGAGCTGTCGAGATACAGCATGGTCCCATTATTTTTAATAGTTTGCAGGGCAAAGTTTGATTGACCTAACTCATTCTGTCTATGGTTTTCACACTGACTTCACTTTGACTGACACGTGGATCAATAGTTAATAACTACATTTTCATTTTGGGATGAATTATTCCTTAGTGGCCTGAATGAAAAGAATGCAAGACAGACTATATAAAGTGGATAGTAGATGGATATCAAGTCAACAGCTAATACAGCTAAAGAAACGGCTAAAGTATATAGATATATTTGTATTTTTAAAGATTATGGAGAACAGATAAAAGAGTCTTTATGTGGAAACAGAAATATGACTATTGGAGAGTGCATTATAGTGACATGCATGACAGCTCCACCAGGGGGAGGAGGAGTTAAGGTTGGAGTTAATTTGACACCTGTTTACGGCTTTGTCTTGTTTTAGGAAGAGCAAAGGTGATGAAACTGAAGATGAGGCTCATATGTAGCAATAAATTACAGTGGAAAATATAAAAATTATATTTATAGCCATAGTTTAGCTGTTAACAATGTAAAATATACTAGGGCTAATTTTCCTTCTTTATCCATTTAAAACAGGTGACAGTCCACAATGCAGCTTTTCATGACCCATGTTGCTATGGAAACCTTTAAAAACCATTAATTAATGCTTCTCCACAGCAACCAAATATTACACTAATGGCCAACTATGTCCAGCAACCAGTGGTATCAGCTTATGTCTTGAAGCCAGGATAACTATTTGTCTGTGTGCTGTAGCTTCAGAGCCACACTTTAATTTCCTGTATTGTGAAGCAGAGGGTCGTTGGGGCTCCCTCTGCAGTATTGAGTCAAGGTTTTTTTTTGGCAATGACTTTTGACCTCTCGTCTCATCATTTCTTCTCCGTGACATAACAGCAAATCCTTTTAGTATGGGCCACCTCCCCAGAGATGACAGTGAGGCATTGATGAAGACATAGCCGGACATTCTGTAGAGTAATCACATCAAGCTCAAAGGTCAGCAGAAAAGAATTGAAACTTTTTTTCTTAGAATCTGGTTTGTATGGGCCTCACTGACCAAAAGTCTGGTCTGTGTCTGGTTGTTGAAGTTTCTTGACATTGAGGGCGTTGTGGACACCTAGGGATGGCGATATATGTTCACCACTTTGGTCCAATCTAAAATATCTCAACAACCATTGGATGGATTGCCATGAGGTTTTGTTCAGACATTCATGGTCCTCTCAGGATGAATGACATTGATTTTGGTGATCCCCTGAAAGCTGTGGCTGGGTTGTCTGTCCATCCATCTGTCCGTCCCATTCCTATGAACACAATATCTCAAGAAAAAGTTTGCACAATGCATGTCCACTTGGACCCAAGAATAAACTGAGTAAAATTTAGTGGTCTGAGGTCAAGGTCACTTTGACCTCACAAATACACGTTTTTGGCCCGTGATTCAAGAAATCTCTCGTATAGAAATTGCAGAGACATTCAAGTACTTTTACAGGTACAAGAGGAAATTTCCCCTTCACCTCCACAGGACCTCAGCAACTCCCGCCTGAAAACAGAAGACATTGTGAAAGTTCTGCACTCAAGCTACAATACTGACCTTGACTAGTCCATAGCTTTTGACAGTTGTGGAAACATTACCTCTCCAAACCACTACTTTGAAATCTTATTCTGTTTATTAATCAACACAGATTAACATCTGCCTCTACTGATACAGCAAGACTGAGCTCCGTGTGCAGGGGAGATAGTGAGACGGAGATTTACGGTCCACTTGGAGCCCTTAGCAGTTTGTGTGTTTTTCTGTCAGCATTTATGACTGATATGAGCACACCCTATACAAACGTCAGATACATACAAACAAAAATATGCAGACACGTCTTTAGATACATTTATACATTTGCTGTTACATAAATAGATACAGATATATTAGTGATTCACAGCTTTGAACACATTGTCACAAAATAGACACACTCTCTGGGAATAAACAGTCGCACACACACCTACACACATGCACACAAACACACCCAGCAAAGCAGGATTATCCCTGCCAGTGTTTTGGTTGGGGCCTTATCTGAAGTAATGGCGGATCAGAGTCCTGATTCGTTTTCCCTCTCTTGTCAGACTGAGGAGTTCTTTGCCTGGGGACACCACATCTTGCATATTAACACCCTCGATACAGAAATGCACCCACAGACACATCATCCTGCATATTTAACATGTGCACACAAATGCACACGCTGATATTTGTGTGCATCAGCTCGCTTAACAATCCTTTATGCCTGTAATATAGCCACTGATAACCAAATCATTTACAAAAGCACACACTTAACCGTGTGCTCGCCATTTCTTTGTTTGTGAAGCACTGCCTCCACTAAATAATTTTTGTCATCAGCATAATGTGAACATGACAAGCACCAACGGTTCATTGTAATGCTAACCGACAGATGAGAAGAGATTGCTTATTTTTTTTTCACCTTGAAAGGGCCTTCTCTCACCTTTTGATGTCATGTCACATTATCTGATGTCACCTGGGACAGAGCCTTAATAATGGAGATGAATGAAACTGTCAATGGAGGAGAACAGGTGTTTTATACCGACATGCAGGCAGGGAGAGGAGACTGAAAGAGGGAGATAAAGGCAGTTTAAAGGCATGCAGGCAGGTTTATTGACCTGCTGCGAGAGGACAGATCAGCC